CACACACACACACACACACACACACACACACACACACACACACACACCCTGATCCTACACCTTTTATTTGTTTTGGAATCACCTGGGGAGTTTTAAACAGTACTGATTTACTTGGAGTGTGGCTTGAGAGTTTTAAAACCACAATGTCCAGCAACGTTTGAGACCCACTGCCTTACAACCAGTCCACCTCCTTATCTGGAGTCAGGGGCACCTTCAGCTTCTCTGGTCACCTGTCCAGTAGCTCCTAAGCCACTGAACTTGAGGCTTTGTTTGAGGACAGCTGGCGGGTGGACGGGGCGGGGCCTGAGAGCTCTGGTCCTGCTGTCCCAGGAGGAGAGGCTTTCAGGCCAGAACCCAGGAACCCGGCTCTAGACTCGGTCCCCGGCAGCCTCCTCAGTCCCGGACGGGACAGGAAGTGTCCGGCAGAGGTGGGTGTGGGGATGATTGGCAGTTGGAGGCTCCAATGGGTCGAGCCCCCCCTATTTCACCCCTCTCCTTCCATTGGTGCCTGGGCGGAGCCGCCCCACGGCGTGCCCCAGGGCGGCAGGGAGTAGAGGCCGGGGCGGAGGGTGAGGACGGAGGGCGCTGGCGGCGGCGGCCGCAGAAGGTGAGGCCTGATGGGGCCGCGGGTGAGCTCGAGGGAGCCTTGCCAGGAGAGGGCGGGGCCTGGGGGTGTGGGATTTGAAGGGCCCGAAGTGACTGACGGAATGTCAGTGCGTGTGTGTGCGTGTGTGTGTGTGTGTGAGAGAGAGAAAGAGAGAGAGAGAGAGACTGCAAGGCTGTGTGTGACGCTGTCAGTGTGCGAAACTTCGCAAGTGTCGCTTGGTGAAACTCAGCTAGTGTGACTGCGGGTGTCGCTCTGCTGAGGCTGAGTCTGCATGTGGCTGTGCCTGTGTGGGATTATGTGTGTGTGTCAGTGTGCAGTTTGCGGGCAGAGACCGGGTCGTGCGTTTGTGTGTGTGTGAGAGGGCCTGTGACCACATCAGGGAATGTGTTTGGGGAAGGTCTCTGCGGAGTTTGAGACTGTGTCTGACAGCGTGAGAGTGGATGGCTGGGTTTGCGTGTGCCAGTGTGTGACTTCAGCATGGCAGAGGAGGAATGAGACTTGCACTCGGCGTGTGTCCTGTATCCTGTTAGACTGAGGAGAAGTGGAGCTGGGTTTGCATTTTGGGGACCCACTTCAGTAGCCAATGGGACTGACCTTTCTACTTAGTGGCCAGGGTAAGCAGACCATCCCCAGCACACTTGGCTCTCCCTCCTTCTTTTAGTGCTTGAGAATCCTTGTCACTGGTCCAGTGCTCCTTATTTTCTGTCTCCCTGTCTGACTCAGTTTCCTTATATTTCTTTTTCTCTCTCTACTACTGTCTTCCTAGAGCTAGTGCTCTGTGTGTCTTCACACTTTCATCTCCCCAGGTATCTCTGTGTGTCTGCTTTTTAGTCCTGCCTCTCATGTTCTCTGCATCTGTCTCTCTCTCTGTGCCCCTGTGCCTGACTCCCCTGTTCACCTTTGTCTCTTTGGCTACCTGGGGGCCTGAAATGGTGATGAGATGGGGGATCTGCCGTGCTAAGAGCTCCCTGGAAGAGGGGGCTTACACTATGATGAGGAGTTGCTTTTAGAGAGTGCTGTGACCCCTCCATCCCAGGGTGGAGTGCTAAGTGTGTGTGTTTGGCTGTGCAAGGAAGAGGGAGATGTGTGTCTGTGTGTGTGTCTGGGTATGTGTAAATGTTTAAGTGTCTGAGCCTGGGTGAGGATGTCTGAGTGTATCGGTGTAACTGTGAGTGGCTGTGTCTGAGAGTGTGTGTCTGAGGGTAAGTGTGGGTCTTGTGTATCTGGCACCAAGGGACCAAAGGCATTTCCTGGTGCTGGGGCCTGAAGAGTAGCGGGGGAGGTGAGAAATGGTTGGAACGTCCAGGGGAGGGGGAAACTGGACTCTTTGGCTTTTCTTTATATCCCCCAACGTGGGGCCCTCTTCCCCTTAAAATACAGACAGCTGTGCCCTAAGGAAATATTTGCTGGGGAGTGAAAAGAGTGGGAGCACGAGTATGTGTCTGCTTTTTGATTTGACTGTGTCCGCGTGTGTTCAAGGGCGTATCTTTGTTGACTGTGCCTGGGGAGTCCACGCGTGAATGTGCCTGTGTTCTGCTGTGTGAAAACACAGGAACCTCTTGCTGACAGGGACACAGCAGCTCTCCTTTCCCTCTTGCTGTGCCTGGCTGTGCCTGGCTCTGCCTGTGGCTTCCTTTCCAGACTCGGGGGAGGCCTCTTCCCTTCCCAGGGCCTTGGGTGGGAGGGGGTGGGAGAGTAGGAGGGAGGAGAAAGGAGAGAGGAGGGGGCCTAGCTAGGGGCGGCTGAGCTCCATGGCCCAGAGGGGCGGGGGCAGGGAAGGGGAAGGAGGGGACGATTCTGGGGTCCCAGAACTGAGTAGAGCTGAGACGGGTGCTGTAGCTGGTGGGAGGAAGTCCTGGAGGCCATGGACAGTCAACCACTGGAATCATCGAGGTAGGGCAGGGCTGAGCAGGGTAAATGCGGCCGGGGAGCCGGGGTGAGCCACTAGACACACTCAGACAGACACACAGACACGCGGAGGTCGCTGCTCAGCTCTACCTGGGAGGGATTTGGGCTCTCCCTCTTCTGGAGCCCTCGCCCAGGGCCCTTTGCCCATCTGCGCCCTCTCCCACCCCCCTTCCCTCTTCCCCACTGCGTTCCTCATCCTGCTTTCTCCCATCCAGGATTCCCTCTCTCCTAGCACCTCCATCCCCCGTACACACATGGTTGGTTACCTTTTTGGCCTCTCTGAGATCCTGCTGCCCCAGCCCAGCCCTCACCTCGTTGAGCTCTCACTGCCTCCCAGTCCTGATCTCTGAGCATCTCTTTGTCCTGTGGCCTCCACCCCAGCCTCCTGTTCCTGCAGCCTCCCAGCTTCTCTCAGCCTCCTCTCCTGTCCCGCCACCCTGTCTCCATCTTCTGGCTCCTCGCCCACCCCCAGCCTCTGGCAGCAGTCAGGGCATCTGGATCTGCTTAACTCCGCAGCCTCAGCCTGCACCCTAGCCCCATCCGGCCTCACAGGCTCAAGACCAGCAAGATTCCAGAGTCAGGCCCAGATGAGCGGCGCAGAGCAAGGAGCCAGGCCCAGGCGAGAAGAGGCTTGGCAGCCAGAGCAGGGTTAGGCCTCATGGCAGGGGTACAGGGTGGGCTCAGACCCACCATGACAGTCCCACCCCAGGGTGATGAGGGCTGCCTCAGGTCAGTCAGAGGCAACGACTATCCCTGGGCCAGGTGGGATGGACACGGAATTCCCAACACCTGGATTGGAGGAGTTAATGGGAGTGACTGAGCCGGTGCCAACACTTGGTGCCAGGGGTGGGTGCCAAGGGTGGTGCAGGGGGCGGTGCTGGCACAGTCTGTCGCCTCCAGCTTTTGTTCTGGGCCCTAAGCCCACGACTGAGAAGGGGGGGTGTGAGGGTGTGTGTGCGTGCGTGTGTGTGTACTCACACACAGCGCTGGGCGTATGGTGGAAAGGGGACCTTACATCAGAGCCCCCAGTGATGTCTGATGTCCTTACCCCACTGGGCACCTGGTTTCCTCCTAGAAAGCCTCAGTCTGGAAGAGGGGGAGGCAGACTTTAGCCTCCCATCTTGGGAATGGGGGATCGCTGACCTTGCCTCTCTCCCCACAGATGAGCAGCAGCTGCTCAGGGCTGAGCAGGGTCCTGGTGGCCGTGGCTACAGCCCTGGTGTCTGCCTCCTGTCCCTGCCCCCAGGCCTGGGGCCCCCCAGGTGAGAAAAACTCTGCTCTATGGCCCAACTCTGACCTGTGACTTGCCACCATCACCGTGGCCCCTCTCATGCCTAACCTGTCATCCTCCCAACCCCTGAAATCCAGTCTGGCAACATCTCTCTACCCTGCTCTCTGACCTCTGTCTCCAGATTATAACATGATGTTTTGACCCCATGACCCCACTCAGGTCTTAAAAGTCCACCCCTTATCCTGTCACTGTCACAAAGTGTGGGGTGGGGTGGGAGAGAGGGAAAGGAAGAGCCTCTGCTCAGAAGTGCCTTCAACAGGGGTCCAGTATGGGCAGCCTGGCAGGGCCATGACGCTGTGTTGCCCTGGAGTGACTGCTGGGTAAGTGCTCCACCAGCCTGCTGGGCTGACAGGACCCTTTCACGACCCATTTCTTGACCTTGCCCAGTCCTCACACCCCTCCCATCCTTGCCCCTGTATCTGTAATCCTCACCTCTTTGTCTGTCTTAACCCTCAAACCATCCTTATTCAACAGAACATTCAACCAACATGTATTGAGCACCTGCTAAGTGCCTGGTCTATTCTAGGCCCTGGGATGCAGCAGTGCACAAGCCAGGCAAGATGCCAGGTAGTAATACCTGCAGGGCAGAAAATCAAAAGAGAGTGAGGTGGAAGAGGGTAACTGAGTGACCACTTTTTATTGGTAATAAGGGAAGGCCTCTCGGAGGAGGTGACATTGAAGCTGATTTCTGAAGGTTGGGGTATAAGCAAGCATTCCTGACAGAGAGAACAGCTAGTGCAAAGCCCTGAGGTGGGAGTGAGCTCCGCACTCTTGAACCAAAAGAGGCACAACCTGAGTGGAGTGCAGTGGGGGAGGGGGAGACAGGAAGGTGATGAAGAAGGAAAGGAAGGCAAGGGCTAGATCACCAGGGGCTTTGTAAGCCAGCAAAAGGAGTTTGAGCTTTACTGCAAGCACTGAGAAGCCAATGGAGAGCTGTGACATGGTCGGACTCATAGTTTAAATCTTCCCTCCATCTGTCATCATCTCATCTCACCCCCAGGGCCCCGGTGTCCTGGTTTCGGGACGGGGAGACAAGGCTGCTCCAGGGACCTGACTCTGATCTAGGGCACGAACTGGTCCTGGCCCGGGCAGAAAGCACTGACGAGGGCACCTATATCTGCCGGACCCTGGATGGTGCACTTGGGGGCATGGTGACCCTGCAGCTGGGCTGTGAGTTGGGGAGGGAGTGTTGGCGGTAGCAGTGATGAGACATGGGGCTCCTGGGGGAATCCAGGCCCTGAGTAAGCCCTCTGGGATGGGTAGGGGCTGGGAACTTCTCGGTCTCCAGCTGCACCGTCTGCCTCTAGACCCCCCAGTCCGCCCTGTTGTCTCCTGCCAAGCAGCTGACTATGAGAACTTCTCCTGCACTTGGAGTCCCAGCCAGGTTAGCGGTTTACCCACCCGCTACCTCACCTCCTACAGGTGTGTGCATGATCGGTGTGTATACCTATATGTTTGGGTGTTTAGCAAAACGTGGGTATGGGAGGTAGGTAAGGAGGTCCTAAGGAAGACCTGAGAGAGAAGGAGGACCCTCCTTTCCTTCCTGACCTCGGATGGCCTCCTCCCTGCCAGGAAGAAGACAGTACCAGGAGCCGATGGCCAAAGGTAGGACATGAGAGGGAAGCTGGGGGCTCTAGCTGGGTACCACAGTGAGCATTTCCAAAGCTCAAGACCACATCCTCTCTCCTAGGATGAGTCCATCCACAGGGCCCTGGCCATGCCCACAGGACCCCCCAGGGGCTGCCCGCTGTGTGGTCCATGGGGCAGAGTTCTGGAGCCAGTACCGGATCAATGTGACTGAAGTGAACCCCCTGGGGGCCAGCACACGCCTGCTGGATGTGAGCTTGCAGAGCATCTGTGAGTACCCACTCCTAGAGCTCTCCCTAAATCCCTACCACAGAGACCCCAAACGGACCCCAGAGTACAGGTACCCCCCAAATTCAGAACTCTCCTCCCCTGAGCTCCCACATAGCTCCCTCCCAACATAGACCCATTTCGGCACACAGATGGCCCCCATGGAGACTAAGAACCCAGGGAGATCAGAGCCCAGGAGGCAGGCTTACATCAGCTTCTAGAGACTGCTGCCACTACCCCCTTCCCTACTAGTCCTTCCTGGCTGCCTAGCCCCAGTGCTGCCTCTCTGCTTCTAGGCCTTGTGCTGAAGGCACTTCTATCTCATGTCCTCCCTGCCCAGTGGAAGCCCTTGCTGGCCTCTCCTTCCTCTTGATCTGTGTGTGGAAGGGGGTCACCAAAGCGCTGGCTGGAATTTGGGCCAACTCATCTTCCTTGGATGGAAAGCAGAGTCACTCTTTTTTAAAAAAATTTATTTATTTTATTTATTGATTTTTGGCTGCATTGGGTCTTCGTTGCTGCACGTGGGCTTTCTCTAGTTGTGGCGAGCGGGGGCTACTCTTCCATCGCGGTGTGTGGGCTTCTCATTGTGGTGGCTTCTCTTGTAGCGGAGCATGGGCTCTAGGCGCGTGGGCTTCAGTAGTTGTGGCACGCGGGCTTTCTCTATTTGTGGCGAGCGGGGGCTACTCTTCCATCGCGGTGCGTGGGCTTCTCATTGCGGTGGCTTCTCTTGTAGTGGAGCATGGGCTCTAGGCGCGCGGGCTTCAGTAGTTATGGCACGCGGGCTCAGTAGTTATGGCTCGTGGGCTCTAGAGTGCCGTCTCAGTAGTTGTGGCACACGGGCTTAGTTGCTCCGTGGCATGTGGGATCTTCCCAGACCAGGGCTCGAACCCGTGTCCCCTGCACTGGCAGGCGGATTCTTAACCACTGAGCCACCAGGGAAGTCCCAGAATCACTCTTTAACTCACTCAACAAACATTTCAAAAATCCATCCTCAGATCTTAGCTTACTTTATAATAGGGATGACAGATAGGTCCTGTGCCTAATGGATGATCAAGCTTAAGATTTCCCCAACCTCCTTGGAAGTGCCTCCCCTCAGGGACCTTTAGGCACACACCCATCTTCCCTTGGGAGGTGGTGGGGAAGGGATGAGTACCTGTCTTGTGCCCTGAATTTGTGTCTCCACTGCCCCCAGTGCGCCCTGACCCACCCCAGGGGCTGCGGGTAGAGTCGGTACCTGGCTATCCTCGCCGCCTGCGTGCCAGCTGGACGTACCCTGCCTCCTGGCCCCGCCAGCCCCACTTCCTGCTCAAGTTCCGGCTGCAGTACCGTCCAGCACAGCATCCAGCCTGGTCCACGGTGAGGCCCTTGGAGTGCGTCCCAATCTGGGGCTGTGGGTCCTGTCTCTAGTTTCATGTTCCTGGGTGTTCTGCGTGACCAGATCTGGCAGGTAACTGACGCCCCGTGGCCTTCCCCTACAGCGTACTCTCCATGGGCCAGGCCTTGTGCTGGGTGCTGGGGTTGTAGCAGAGCCTGAGGGACCGAGCCTCTGCCCTGCAGGGCTGTAACTGATCTCAGCCCATCTGTGGGAAGACAGCAGTGATTTTTTAAAAATAACTTTTCTAGGAAAAGGAGTGCCTTTCAGCCAGAGGCACAGCCGCATACAAACACTCATATACTCAGATGTGGATAGAGGTGAAGTCCCACATCTGGAGATGGCAAAGATTGGCCAGCATCAGGCCTGCGGAGCCGCTGCCTCAGACAATAACCAATATTTATTGAACACCATCTGTCTGCCAGGCACTGTGCTACACATTTTACATGTATTATCTCATTTAGGTGTATTCACCTCTATTTTACAAATGAAGAAACTAAGGCACAGAGAGAGGTCCAAGGTCACTCAGTAAGTGGTACAGCAAAGATTTGAACCCAGGCAGTCTGAAGTCACAGCCTGTCTACAAAACCACTGTGCACTTTTGTCTTCTGAACACTAGGTGTAGGCCTGACACCACCAGCCACCCTACGTGAAGCCCAGACGGCTGCATCAGGCTGACAGGGACAGGACTGGGAGGAAGGGGTGCTCTTTGCAGACTGGCTCTGGGGGGCAGATAGGCTGAGTGCTTATAACCTGGATAACGTGTCGACGAACCATCTGCACTGACAGGTGGAACCGGCTGGATTGGAGGAGGTGATCACGGACGCTGTGGCTGGGCTGCCCCATGCCGTGCGGGTCAGTGCCCGGGACTTTCTGGACGCAGGCACCTGGAGCGCCTGGAGCCCCGAGGCCTGGGGTACTCCGAGCACCGGTGAGAGACAGAGCCTAGGGAAAGAGCAGAGGCCCCGCTGCCCAGCATCTATCGGCGGAACTGCAGGCGCTACGGGGCGGCGTGGCAATTGCGGCCCCAGGCTTCACCTGTAGCTGCCTGCAGCCCCGCCCTAGCTTAAACCCTGCCCCAGATTAAACCCCGCCCCTCAGCCTCCGCCCTTCAGCCTCCACCCCTGCTTACATCCCCAGAAGCTGGCTCTACCCTTTCAAGCTCCGCCTCCGAGGCGCCCCTGTGTCCAACCCTGGCCCTGGCCTCGCCTGGCGGGCCCTGACCTCCGCCCCGACCCCGCGTGGATAGTTCTCCTCAGGTCTCGTCTCCCTCCAGGACCCCTACCGAAGGAGATACCAGCTGGGGGCCAGCAACACGCGCAGCCAGAGGAAGAACCTCAGGCGGTTAGCCCTGCTCCCCCAAGACCGTCCCTCCTACCAGACCCGCGGCCACTTGGTGAGCTTGGGCAGATGGGCAAAGGTGGTAGAGGATGGGAAAGCCCCAGAGAGAAGAGGGCACCGAGTTTGGTCTGGCAGGCTTGCTCTCACAGCTGGCACGTGACCCTCCCCCTCAGACCACAGAGACGCCCTGGAGCAGGTGGCTATGCTGGCATCTTTGGGAATATTCTCTTTCTTGGGACTGGTGGCTGGGGCCCTGGCACTGGGGCTCTGGTAAGTGACTGCCATTGGCCTCTCATCCTCTGATCCCACACAAGGGCTCTGATACCCATAGACCACACCCGTTCCCACCCCTCATGACTTTGCACTGAACGTGTCTGATTCTGGAACCATTCCTCCTCCTTCTCCCACCCCCAACTTCATGATTCTCACCCTTTCCTCTCTTGACCCTTTACTAACAAACCTTTTTGGAAGAGACTGAGACGCCCCACATTGTCAGGGAGACAGCTTCCTTTTTGTGCTCCAGGCTGAGGTTGAGACCATGTGAGAAGGATGGACCCCAAAAGTCTGGGTTCTTGGCCCCGATGATTCCGGTGGACAAGCTTCCAGGTGAGTATGACCTCTGGGAGGTTTGGACTTGGAGATGTGTGCCCTCATTTTGAGTGTCTGGATTAAGAGCCAGGTGCCTTAGTCATAAGGGTTTTGGGAATCAGAGTTGGGGCTCCTCATTCTTGTAACTTCTGGACTCAGGGATGGGCCTTTCGTTCTTGAGTCCCGGGCTCAGAGTTGGGTCTCTTCTGTCTCTTGCAGGATACTGGGGCTCCTAGATGGATTCCCTCCTCATTTTCAGGGTATTAGGCTCAGAGCTGGATCCCCTGCCTTATTCTTGACGTGCCTGGGCCCAGAGCTAGGTCCACTCCCTCATCTTCAGGGTATTGGGGCTTACACAGAGGTGGGCTCCCCTATTCATTTTTGGAGTGTTGGGCTCAGAGCTGGGTCTCCTCCCTCATTCTCTGGGAATCTGGGACAAGATCCAGTCCTACTATCTCCCTTGATTTTCCTCCTTCTTCTAGGAGTCCCAAACCTGTAGAGGATCTTGGAAGGCTTCAGCTGATTCCACCTATAACTCTGTCTTGCTGGTGTGGATGGACAGACAGGTGGAACCCAGGCAGGACAGTAGATCCCCACGGAGTGGGGTTCTCAGCTGGAAATTCTGTTTGGAGCTCATTTCTATGAGACTCTGTGTTCCCAACTTGCCAGCTGAAAGGTGCCTGGACCTCTGGCTTCATCTCAGAGTTGGCAGCCCACCTGAGGAATGTGTGTAGATGTGTATGTCTGTGTCCATGTGTGTCCACGTGTATGTGAGGCAGGGAACATGTGTTCTCTGCATGTATGTATATAGGTACCTGGGGAGTGTGTGTGGGTCCTTGGCTCTCGGCCTTGCCCCTGGCGGGGGTTGTGAAGGTGTGAATAAAGAGAATGAGGAGGTTCTTCTGTCTATTGACATGTCTCACAGCTCCGGACTCGGGACTCACAGGAGAATACACAGAACTTGGAGACCACAGTCAGAGACTACTGGGCGATGCTGCTTTATTATTTTGGCTACTGGGGGCCCCGGCCCATTTTCCCTATCATCTCCAAACTCAGTTGGGCAGAGTCCCCTGGAGCCTCTTCCCTTGGCAGTCAAATCACAGAGTCAGGCTGCGGTTCTGGGGGTGGATGCAGATGCTGCGTCTAGACAGGTGAAACCTGGGAAAGGAAAGGTCCAAAGCCATGGTCGTAGCTTGGAGATGAGGGTAAGGCCCAGGGGTTAGAGGCAAAGGCCAGATGAAAACCTGAGTTGGCATCAGAATTAGCAATTGGGGCGGGGTTGAGATCAGCATCAGGGGTTGGGACTGAGGTCAGAGTCAGGGGTCAAATCAGGGGCAGAGTCAAAGCTCACACGAAGGCCTGGAGGTGACAGTCCCCATCAGCTTCCTGAAATTCCACTCGGATGACCTTCCTCGGTAGTTTGCTTGAGAGTGGCTGTCAGTAGAACTGAGTACAGCATGATGTAGTGCTGGGTGCCAGTGGCAATGCTAGGGGACAACAGGACCGTGTGTTCGGAGGGCTTCTGACCCTAAGCTCCATCGGATAGCTGGAGGCTGGGCTTCCTGGGCCCCTTTCCCTCCATCCCATTCACCCAGACCCCTGGCCTTCTAGACCCCCAAACACTCACCTCCTCCAGGGTCTGGGCTTAGGAGCAACAGTAGCAGCAGGAGGCTGCTGGTGGGTGAGGGCCCCTTCATGATGCTCAGCCTGGATACTTCCTTCTTTCTCTGCCTCCTTCCCTACCTTTTATCTGGGTGCCTTTTACCTGGGGCACCAGGTGAGTCAGCGGCAGGTGAAGATGTATTGCTCATCCTGTGACACTCCTGGGCCCTAATTACCAGAGACCCCTGTGCCACAGACCCCCTCCTCTTTTAGGACAGTAATTTCCCATGGGCTCCTAAATCCTGGGCAGAGAAGCTGGGGAGGGGATTGTGCACATGGGGACTGATGGTACAGTAACTGAGTAAGGGCGGCCAAGGATCCACAGTGGCATCCAATGATGGACATTAACACTCACATACTCATAGTTACACATTCACAGTCACACCTCAGTCACTCGATCAACCTCACATGATCAGACAACCCCGGATGGAATCATACAGTCCCAGTTATACTCAAAGTTCCACTCCCACACGGTTGTGTTTTCACAATCGTCCAACCACACGGTCACACTAGCACACCCAAATTCTGATGGGGGAGTTGTGGGTGGGCTGGGAGCAGATGGCAGGCCAGCACCAACTTGCCTTCATTTCCCCCTGCCCGCTTCCTGCCCTAGCCTGCTTGTCTTATTAGGAAAAATTGACGGGAATGGCTCCCTAAAGCAGGCCCTTCTGACTGAGGAGGAGTCTTGCCTGGGCCGGTCACATTCAGACTGCGAAGCTGGGAGAAGGCCCTTTTTGGTGGTAATGGGTTGCCTTGGGGATACTGAGGTGTGGGTTGCTTTCCCCAGAAGATGAGATAGGGAGGAAGGATGGGGTGGATATGGAGGGCAGGTGAGGGAAGATAAAAGTTCTTTGGTGCCAGGTTGCTGCTGTCCAACAGGTAAGAGACCCAAGAAATCTTACGTTCCTGTTTTTGCCTAGTCCTGTCCCAGACATGCCAGCCTCTTACCAGCAGGGACCTGGGGTTTCCAGCCCCTGGCTTATTGAGACATAAGATTCAAGAGCTCAGTTACCTCTCCTTTGTTCTATTCAAATGCCAGTTTCTCTCTATTGTGGGCCTGGAAGAAACCCCCCCTCCCCAACCCCTACACCCTCTGCATCCCATCCTCTTGCTAAAGCCCCGACCTCCCTTTACCTTCCTGTCCCTTCTTTTTAAATCCTATATCCAGCCCTCACCCCCTCTTCCCCTAGCCACCCCCCTCCCCACCCAATGCAAAACTATTCCTTATCTTCCTCCTCCTGTCCTTTCCAGGAAGCTGGGGACAGCCTAGGGTGGGGGCAAGCTGCTAAGTTTAGTGCCCCTGGCACCCTGAAGAATTTCCCACTCCTGGTCTGGAGATTTGAACCCTCCTGTCCTGCTCTATATTTTAAACATAAACTGATCATCACCCAGTAATCCAGCCCTTATCTGGTTGTTGCAGGGGTACCTTCTACAACCTTCTGCTCTGTCACCAGCTACCCTCTATGGGGCAGGCCTACTCTTGGGATGGGGACTCACACCTCCCTGGGCATCTTTCTGCTGCAGGGCGGCTGCAACAATCAGGAGCGACCCTAAGCTCGGAGAGTAGGGACTAATCCCCCTCCCAGGCTGAAAGACTCGAGCTTCTCCCGCTCCTGTCCAGGGTAAGGCTTGGGGGCTCCTTCCCTGGAGCTTGTCTTGTGGATACTCAGGAAATCTGAGTATCCTGAGGGATTCTGAGGTGTAGGCCCAGGGCTGGACAGGGTACTCTTTTGTCAGGGTTCTCAATGTAGACATTGTGAGGAAATGCCTCAAGAGCCTGGGTCCATTCTTGAAGGTGGCCACAACCCAGAGGTCACTCATCTTGAATTTCTAGTACCAGAGGCCTTAGGGTCTCTCACCCACCCTCCAGTCTGGACTTGTACCCCAGAGCTCGGGTGCACCCACTGAGGCACCATCATCTTGTCACAAATCTTCAGCTGGCTGTCTGTCACACACTTTGGAGTCTTTTCTGGACCAGTCAATCCAGAGGCCTGGGAAGGAAGAAACAAATTCTTCCAGGTATGCACCCATCTCTCCCCTTTGGCTTCTCCAAAGATAGGGCCAAGTCTCTTTTTTTTTTTTTTTTTTTGAGGTATGCGGGCCTCTCACTGTTGTGGCCTCTCCCGTGGCGGAGCACAGGCTCCGGACGTGCAGGCTCAGCGGCCATGGATCACAGGCCCAGCCGCTCCGCAGCATGTGGGATCTTCCTGGACCGGGGCACGAACCCGTGTCCCCTGCATCGGCAGGCAGACTCTCAACCACTGCGCCACCAGGGAAGCCCGGGCCAAGTCTTTTTCCCAGCTACAACCTGCTATGGCAGGGTCAGCACGAGGCTGGAAGTTAGCTCTGACCCCACCCACAAACTGGGCAGTCCCTTTAACTTAATTCTGTGGTGCCCTCCCTGGTGCTGGGGCCAGTCCCTAACTGAAAGCAGACCCACTAGGAGTCCCTGACCCTTCATCACTTCAGGAACTAGTGGGTTTCAGCCCAACTCGGTGACAAGACAGAAAGGAAAGGTAGGGAGCAGTGGCCCTTGGGTTCTCCTAGGGAGGTTACACTTCGGGGGGCTGATGCCAAGTATCTATGTACCTTTGTTTTTTTTTTTTGGCTGCGCTGTGCGGCATGCGGGATCTTAATTCCCCAACCAGGGATCGAACCCATGCCCCCTGAAGTGGGAGCATGGAGTCTTATCCACTGGACCATCAGGGAAGTCCCTGATGCCAAGTATCTTTAAACTTGGGATCCAACTGGAGGAGCCAGAAGCTGGGGTGTTAACTGTAGGAAAGACCTCCAACAGTTCTAAGTCATTCCCCTATGGCAGGCCGAGGGTAGCAGCTTCTAGGAATCTTTCCCTCCTCTCACAGCCTACTTCCTACAACTATGGGCTTAAAATATTTTAGATCCACTCCCAGGAGAAGATTCTTCAGGCACCTGGCAAAGTCCTGTCTAGGAGGAAGGTGGAAGCAGAGAGCTGGGATTGTGAGGATTTATGGATGTGGGGACAAGGCTGGGAGGAAGATAAAGCCAGGATTATTTAGCTCCCTCCATACAGACCACTCATAGAGATGAGTGTGTGTGTGGTGGGGCGGGGGGCTTAGGTGGTGGAAGGCAATCACTGGTAGTAAGGGGAGGCCTGACCCTGATGGGAGACCCTTAGGAATAATGGGAGCCTGGACACGGACGGACACCCTATCAAGGACAGAGGCCCTGTCAATACGGAAACAGCCGGCGTGGAGAGGGGCTCCCAGCCCGAATGGCGGCAGCGGCGGCAGAATCAGGAGGGCAGGACGGTGGCTTTGGTTTAAATCTTTAATGCACCAGCTGGCTGGGCAGTGGCAGCGGGGGTGCGGCGGGGGAGGCTGCGACCGGAGCGCTGGGGAGCAGTGCCCAGTCCACTTGACAGACAGCTCATTAGGCCCCGCAGAGGCTCCAGCTTCTGCTCCCGAGGGTGCGCTGAGCTGTGGGGCGACCCGACACAGGCATGAGGCGGGGCGGGGGCTCCCGGCTTCCCCGCGATCGGTTCTCCCGGACTGAGCCTCGTCCATGCCCCGGGCGGGTCCGCGGTATCGCAGCCCCCTCACCTCCGCTCCCTTCGCCACATGCGCAGCCAGGGGAAAAAGTAGAAACAGCCCCAGTAGATCCTGCAAAGAGAAGGCAGAGCCGGGCGGGGCGGGGCGGGGCTGACCCCACCGACTCCGCCCCTTGGACGCCTCGCCCCTCTCGTGGAAGGCTCCGCCCCGTCTTTTAGAGGCGGTTCCTCCAGCCCACGCCCCCTAAGAGGCCCCACCCCTCCCGCTTCTCCCGCCCCAGAAACCTCGCGCCCTCCCCGCCCCTCCCCCACCACCCCGGAGCGGCTAGGTTCCTCCTCCGCAGAACCCCGCCTCCACTCACTCCTCCTCAGCCTCCAGCGCCACCTCGTATCTCCTCAATCCCGACATGTCCTGGGTTCCGAACGTCTCCTGGGGAGCGGCATGATTGGATCAAGGATTCCCCAATCCCGGATCCCCTTCTCTGTCATTCTCTGGACCAGTTTGACTTGTTCTCGGGTAATATGAGACAGGTGCCCCCGGGAAGACTCAGTTGCCACATCGGGACAGGGTAGGATTGAAGATTTGGGAGGCACTAGACGTTAAGGGATTGGGAGGTCGGGCACCTCGGGGGCATGGGGCATTTAGGGGGTTAGAGCCAAAGGCCTTCGAGGTCATGGGGCTGGGATATTTGGGGCCCCGGGTGAGGATTTTCGGGGATTGGGGTCACCTGGAGGGGGGCTGAGGGGTCGACGCAGCCTAAACGCCCACCCTCCCTGGCTCCACCCCGGAAACAGGCCGGTACGTTACGTCACAAGGACACCGTCACGCACTAGGGGTGGGGCTTGCCTATTACCCGGAAGGGGCGGAGCCAGGGCATTTCTTCAGAGGAGGCATAGTCCAGAAGGTGGAGCCAGAACCTATCAATAAAGGGGTGGAGTCAGGGCTTATTACTAAGAGGCAGGGCACGGACCCTCTTTTATAAGGGCGGAGTCAGATTTCGGAGCTCCACCTTGGGAAGACGGAGACCTCAGTACCAGGCAGCAAGAAAAGAGCTTTGGGACGCTTCCAGTACTCTTTTGCCATCCCCTCTCCTCTCTGTCTTCTTGGCTTCTGCTCTGACAATTGCCTTTCTTGTTTGCCCCATTCTATTTTTATGATTCTGGGCAGAGGAGGAATAGGGCTCCAGAGAGGGCCCAGTCTAGACAGGCCAGGCTATGGGAATACTTGTTGGCTGAGTGGCCTTGGCCAAGTCACTTCATAGTTAGAGGGTCACAGCCCTTCCTCTCTGAGCTGAGACCTCCTTTCTTGCGATTTTTGTTCCTGCAGTCACTAATCAACAAATATTTATCGAGTGACTACTATGTGCTGGGTGATGTGCTTGGGCATGAGGATACAGCAGAGAAGACAGGCACAGATTCTGCCCTCAGAGAGCTTGTCATCTAGGTTGGAGGGGTGAGGGCAATCAAAAGAGACAATAAGATCACTACAATAGACGAAACTGACTGGCTGGGGGCAGTAGAGGGTGCTTTGGTAAAGCCAAGAAAGAGCAATTAACCCGGTGTGGGAGGTTGGAAATAGCTGCCCTATTTGGTCTGGGAAGGGGGGAAGGGAGCCTTGTGGCTGGACGGTATGGGAGAGAATGACCAGAAATGAGTGAAGTAAAAGTTCCCTCAGGCTGAAGTGTGGAGAATAGATTCACCTATCCTCTTCCCACCATCCCACATGCTTTTCCCCTCTCATACCTATCTTCCCCTGCCTGGGCTACATACAGACAGGTGACAGACAGATCCATGGATGCCAGTGGGAAGCATTGCAGTCTGGGCATGGAGAAGCTGTGCTTCCACCGCACTCACCCTCACACTCACTCTCACAGTGACACTCCTGCCCTGCTGCAGCTGGGTCAAGTCTGGTGCACGGGAACAGGAGGCCTGGTCCCCAGGGCTTCAGTAATTCACATCCCTTCACTCAGATGCAGGGCTCTGTCTGTTGTATACTAAAGAATTTGGCTTTTGTCCCTGTTCCTGAGAGGGAGACTCTAAATCTTTGGAATATCTCAAGTAATACGCGTGTCTTTGTTATCTATGAGCCCTTTGGGTCACACCTGAGTTGATGCTAAGAGATGAGGTGACTTGGGATGAGGCCTGGTCAGCAGAAAGACCAACCATATCATTGCAGAATTGGGGCTTTGAGCCAGTCCATCAGAGGAGATCGAGTCATGTTGCCAACAATTCATTCATGCCTATGTATGAAATCTCAGTAAAAACTCTGGACACCAAAGCTCATGGAACTTCCTGGTTGGTGAACACATTGATGTACTGGGAGGGTGACGTGCCCTCTGTGTCTCCATGGGGAGAGAGCATGGGAGCTCTGCGCTGAGACTCTCCTTGTGTGTCTTTTCATTTGGATGTTCCTGATATATATACTTTATAAAAAACTAGTTGTCAGGGTTTCCCTGGTGGCCCAGTGGTTGAGAGTCCACCTGCCGATGCAGGGGACACAGGTTCGTGCCCCGGTCCGGGAAAGTACCACATGCCGCGGAGCGGCTGGGCCCGTGAGCCATGGCTGCTGAGCCTGTGTGTCCGGAGCCTGCGAGTCCGGAGTCTGTGTGTCCGGAGCCTGTGCTCCACAACGGGAGAGGCCACGACAGTGAGAGGCCCACGTACAGCAAAAAAAAAAAAAAAAACAAACAAAAAAGTAGTTGTCAGTATAGCACTTCTGAGTTCTGTGAGTCATTCTAGTGAACTATTGGACCTGAGGGGGGTTTGAAGACCTCTGGACTTGTAGCTAGTTAGGCAGAAATGCAGGTGGCCTGGGGACCCCACTTGTGACTGGCATCTCAAGTGGGGGCAGGCTTGTTGGGACTGTGCCCTTAAACCTGTGAAGTCTAACACTAGCTCTGGGTTGTTAGTGTCTGAATTGAATTGCAGTACATGAGTTGGTAGCAGAATACCTTTCCACTGAGTGCACTCCCCACTGTCTCCATCTATCTAGAACATTTTTTCCCTTTCATAACTCCTCAGTAGTCTCCCTGTCCCCACTTCCCGCTCTTTGTCTTTAGCTCTGAGAACCTCAGCGCTCAACATTTTGGACAAGGGAAGGGGGTTGCATTGTCCCTGTTAGGGGAAGGTTTGCAGTGTCGTCCTCTTGAAGGCATTTGAACATCAGTTTTAAGGCTAGGGGTCAGAGCTTGGTTCAGGATTAGAGGTCAGAGCAAGGTGGAGGGGACCTCCCTCTTTCCCAGGTTTCTCCTTACTCCCACCTCTTCTCTGTGGTCCTAAGACTACTGGAGTGGGAAAGATGGGACCCAGCTGGTCCCCCAGATTCCCTGAGGACAATCACAGGTAGCAGGGTAAGGCTGGAGAAGATCTCCTCCCAGGTCTCCCTAGGCCTATCACAGTGACTACACATCCATCATCTGAGACCTACTCCTCTCTTCGACAAGCAGGGCTAAAGGGAAAGTTCTTTGGAAGCAGGTCCAGCTCCCATATCGCACATCTCAGGACTCTAGGGCTTCACCCTCCTGGCCCAGCCAGTACTGTCCCTCTCCCCCATTATTTTCCTGTGCCCAAAACTGAGTCAGAGAATTATCGATAGCATGAGGGGAACCTGGCTTAAAACACCCCCTTCTGCCATGCCTTCCCTATCCTGGGAATTGAGAGGGGATTTCTGAGGAGAGGGGCTGGTTAACTCACAGGGACACAAGGAAACTAGAGATGAGGGAGGGGAGCAAGTGTTTCCCCCACCTGATGAGAGGGACCCAAGAGACAGAGACCAGAGGAGGAGACCCCTCAGGAGACACCAATTGTGGAGCGCTATTCTGTTTCCCATTCCCAGCCCTAGAGCATATGATATGACAAACTTAACTGTGAGCCCTTTTTTGTCTGCCTTTTCTTTCCATCATCCATCCATTTATCAACTGATCGATCCGTCCATCCATGTGTCCATATGTCTCCCCATCTTTGTCTCTTCATCAGTCCATTTTCCCATCTTTCCTTTCATCTATCTTTTCACACCTTCTTCTTCATTTATTCATCTGTATGTTTAACCATTAGCTGTCTATTTAATGCATCCATTCATCTATTTATCAGTTATGGTAATAATGAACATTTGTTGATACTTAAGTGCCATGCACCATGCTAAATGCTCTAAAATCATTTTCTCATGACAAATCTATGAAGTAGAATGCTGTGAGTGATGCTTTTGTTCATGCAGACACTTTTTTATACTCCTTTTCCTGGTTCCTTTAGGGAATTTCTCTCTCACTTCACGTGGTCTTGGTGGCTGTGTTCACCATAGTGATCTGATCAGAGTACTCCATTCCCTGGCCACTGTAATATATTGAAGAACTGAGTATGTGTCACAAGCACAGTTCAAAGCTTTTCATGAGCTTTGATGTTAGGAGAAAGAGGTCCTCTGTTTTGGATCACTCACTATACAAATGTGGACTTGAGGCTTCCAGTGGCCATATTTTCTGCTGCTAGAAGATCACCTGTCTATAACAGGAATGAGGCCTCCACATAAAAAGAATTAGAGAGAAGTCAAGTTAAAAGATGGAGATAACATCATTTGAATCCCTGGGTCCAACCAGTGCTGAAGTAGACCAAATCTTGATCTAGTTATGTGATATGACAAATTTAACTTTTTGCTTAAGCTACTTTAAGTTGGGTTTTTGTCATTTGCAATAGAAAGAGCCCTAGATAATGATCATTGTATTATTATCCCCATTTTACAGATGAGGAAACTAAGATCCAGAAAGATTAATTTACCCAATGTTTCATCGCTTATAAATGGCAGAACATTGGTACATATTTGGAGCAAAACTCTGATATACTACCCATATATGTCTGTCCATCTGTTGGTTCAATCCATCCATCTATCCATCCATCCCAGTTATTTATTTATCTGACCATCCTTCAATGCTAAGACACCAAAGGCAAGCAGACTTGCCAACTCCAATTTGAGGCTGGGTTTGGATCAGAGGTTAGCAAAATTTTTGTTAAAGGTTCAGCTAATAAATAAGGTTTTGTAGGCCATACTGTCTCTGTAGTCACTTCTTAGCTTTGCTGTTATAGGCCCAAAGCAGCCATAGACAATATGTAAATGAACAGGCATGGCTATATTCCAATAAAGTTTTATTTACAAAAACAGGCAGCAGGCTGGCTGGGCCATAGTTTGCCAATCACTGATCTGGATCAGTGGGGAAGACACATACGTTCTGTCATTGTTGGGAACATGAGTAGGGAATGGAAACTTATATTCCTTGCATTTGCCATTACTAATGTAGTGGAAACAACAGGGTTTTTATACTCAAACTCTTGTATTTGAATCCGGTTTTAGAACCCTGGACAGTCGAGGGAACGGGATCTGTAAAATGGGAATAATATGTATCTTGTGAGGTAGTCCATGTGCCTGACTCACAGTGGGTGCATTCAGTGGTAGTTAGGTCCATCTCCTTTTCTCATTCATCACCTCCCATATATTACCAGCATCAGGAGGGCTGTCTCTTTTTAGGGTGTCCTGGGATGCAGTGAGGATAGTTCAACCTGGCTTTCTGAGTTCAGGAGCCCAACTTCTAAGAATGCGCTTTCATACGAGTTATATAGATTAAGCTCTTGCAAACTCCAAATTTCTCTTTTTAGTAGCTCTACCCCAACTCTTCTCCGTACTGTTCCACAACTGTAACCACTCCAGTGCCCAGCAAAACAAAAGGCTCTCTAGTCAACAGACCCCATTAGACTGAGAGGCAGTTTAGGTACCTTCTTTTATTAAGTCCACCATTCATGATATTACCCTGTTCCCCAGGTGGCTTTTTAACATATTTCTTCCAAAAAAATACTCTTCTCTAGGAGGAAAGATTGTGTCCATGTGTGTCTTTGTGTCTGTGTGCCCATGACGGTTTGTGTGTAATTGTGTATGTGTGTCTATATGTCCCCTTGTGTCCGTACTGTGATTATATGCTTAAATGTCTGTGGTGTGTCCTTGGTAGATGTGAGTGATTGGCACTGTGTTTGATTATATGCCTGTGTATGTGTGTGTGGGTATGGCTGTATGTGTGTGGGTAAGGGTGTCCCCACTTTTGTGTTTGTGTGTATATGTGTGTTCTGTTTAATCCATCCCATTGTGGCTCTCAACCTCACAAGGCCTGCAGGGGGCATCCAGTGCATAGGGAAAGGGGATGCGAGGCTCCTGGCCTGTGCTGCAACCTCATGGGGCCTGCAGAGGGCATCTAGTGTCTAGAAAAAAATGGGTTGTGTGGCCTGTGGAAGTGGAGCTCTGGTCTGAGGAGCCTGGGCTCTCTTATTCCAGAAAGGAGCTGGAAATGGGCAAGAAGCCTGATGACTCAGCTTCTGAAAGTCCCTGATCCTAGGAGGGGGTCTGCTTCACCCCGCAAATCCTTCTCCAAACCCTCTGTCCATATCCAGAGGGTCCCGGCCCAGCCTGCAGGGCAGAGCTTGTCCCTTTAGTCCAAGTGTGGGTAGGATATTGCACAGCACTTCCGGAGGTGACTGGACATCAGGATTGGGGGAAGTCTTGAGCAACAGTACACCCTCCTTCTCTGCCTCCTGCCCTCAGCAGCTTGAAGGACTGCCTCAGCCACTGCCAGGATTTCCTGAACATCCCCTCTCCTTCATTTTCTGCAGTTTGGGCCACTCTGGGCCCCAGGGTTTCTGGGCCTGGACTGAGCTTTCTCAGGAGACGTGCAGGAAACAAGGGCCTCTGAAACCAAGCAGAAGGTGACCTGTGTCGCTGGTGATGAGCCTGGGGGGTAGGGGGGCCAGAGGGAAGGCAAGGGAAGCTACATGTAACAGGGAGCTCTGCAGAGCCTTGAGGATGGGTGAGGCAGGAGGTAGGACATTCCAGGTGGAATGAACATCAAGCACAGAGGTTCAGGAGGGACAGGGCTTTGTGATTAATCCTGATGTGTGTGAGGCAGCAGAAGGCAAGTGGTGTGAGAAGCTATGTATGTGGGGGTAATCCCTGGGGTACTTGGGATACCTCCTGGTGATGCCATGCTCAGTGGTCAAAGTTCATGGAAGACCCCTGTAACCTTAATCAGGCAGGACCACCAGGGACCAGTATTCCCTGGGCATGAAGGTTTGGGTCCCTTAGCAGGCATAGAATGTCAACCAGCTGAAGTGCCAGTTGGAGGTAAAGGGAATGAATCATAGAGGAAGTGTGGCAAACAGAATTTAAGATTCCTCCCTCATGGTGTGCATGTCCTGTATAATCTCCTCGCTTTGAGGGGATCCCCTTGGCCTCTTGGCCTGTGAATATGATGGGATATCAGTGATGTGGTTAGGTTATGCTCTATGGCAAAAATGAAGGGGCTTTGCAGATGTAATTAAGGACTCAAAATCAGTTGACTTTGAGTTAGTCAAAAGGGAGATTACCCTGGGTGGGCCTGACCTAATCAGGTGAGCCCTTTAAAGAAGTGTCTAGGGCTAAGAAATAAACAGCAGCAGCAGATTCTCTCATGTTGCCCTTGGAGAAGCAAACTGCCATGTTGTGAAGAGGGCCATGGAGCAGGGAGATGCAGGCAGCTCTAGGAACTCAGGGCTTCAGTCCTAAAACCACAACTGTCAACACCCAGTGAATTTGGAAGAGGACTCAGAGCCTGAGATGAGATGGCAGCCTGGCTGACACCTGAGATTAGCCTGGTGAGGCCCTGAGCAGAGGACCCAGTTAACCTGTACCCAGATTGTTGACCCACAGAAACTGTGAGATAATAAATTTGGGTTGTTCGAAGCTGCTGAATTTGTGGTGATTTGTTACACAGCAATAGAAAACTAATATAAGAAAGAAGTAATAAATTCTAGTTAAGCCCCAGGACTAGTTTCAGAACTACTGACTACAACTTTTATTCATATTTCCTTCCTGGCTCTGAAATGTCCCCATTTCTTTAACTGACTCCTCTTTTCTTTCATCCTCCTTTATTCCATTCTTGAATATAGGTTGTTGTGGTAATATTACTACTACTCACCAAGATTCTGGTTTGCTTCTCCTCCTGGCAGTTGCTCCCTTGAAGTTAGGCATGGAGGTATGACCCACTTTGGCCAATGAAATGCATGTGCCATTTGTGGATAGAAGCATTTAAGGAAGGGTTCCCCTTGCTGTCTTGCCTGGCTGGAGTCAGCATGGAAACATGTGTTGAGATGAAAGAACGTGCCAAGAGATCAAAGCAGCCTGGAATGTTGAGCCACCACATGGAGTACAGCTGTGCTAGAGATTGCCTAGACTCACAGCAGGCTTGGTATGTGTGCAGCACAGAATTTTGTTGTGTTCAGCCACTCAGATTTAGGTGTCATTTGTTCTTGCAGCCTCACCCAACCTATCCTGACCAATCAGGTGTGCTGCTGGTGGTCACCAGGTGTTGTAGAATAGAGAGATGAGATTACAGCAAAACTAGAGGAGGAATGGATGTCATTCTGAGTTCGTGGATTTAGATTTGGCTTTTGCTATGGGCTGAACTGTGTCCCCTAGAATTCATGTGTTGAAGCCCTAACCCTCAATGTGACTATATCTAGAGATAGGGTATTTAGGAAGTAATTTAGGTTAAATGAGATCATAAGGGTAGGGCTCTAGTCTTATAGGACTGTGGCCTTCAATGAAGAGGAAGGGAGAGAGAGATCTCTGCCATGTGAGGACCTAGTAAGAAGGTGGTCATCTACATGCCAGGAAGAGAGCTCTCAATAGAAACCTACCATGCTGGCACCTTGATGTTGAACATCTAACCTCCAGAACTGTGAGAAAATAAATTTCTGTTGTTTAAGCCACTCAGTCCATGGTATTTTATTATGGCAGCCCAAGCAAAGACAGGTGTGGTAATTGCTAAGGCTCTGAAGAGTCTCTTTTTGGGGAGCAGTGAATCTTTTTGGTTGTATAAACAAAAGTGATCTTATGTTAGGTGACACCCTTAAAATGTTAAGTCTAGGGTTTGGTAAGAAGGATGCATGTTGATGTTGGACAGCCGTAGGGTGGATTATCAAGGTATTTATCTTTTTTTTCACTGCTCACAGTCTTAACCCCTTTCTGTGTTTGAGGAATTTCTTATTATATTAGTCTTACTTACGAGTAGATGTTGCCTTCCATCGTAGAATCCCCAAAGGATTACATTCAGCTCCCTGAATCCCAAGAAGATATCTGTCTCGCTTACTATTGTACCGTCAGCACCCAGAACAGTGCCTGGCATGAATAACTATTTCTGGGTTCCAGACAGTGATGTAGCGTCACTTTAAACACAAGGGTTTGCCAGGGCTGGGACTCTATGTCATGGCAGCCCTAAGACCATTGGGGACCCTGTGTTAACAGATGCTCTGACACTTAGGGCTGCCATGCCAAGAGGTGCCATTTACATAGACTACATGGAAAACGGTGTTCCTGGAGTGGTGCATCGCTGCTGTCCTGCCTGATGGGCTTGGGTGTTCCTGACAGTGATAGGATTTCCCAAGAGGAATGGTGGCCTGATAGTAATGGGGGGACCTTGACATGAATGGGGCTCCTGTCAGCAGTGGGGACGCCAATAGGTGATGGGATGTCCTGCCAGGATTCCTGAATTGATGGAGAGCTTTACAGTGTTGGGTCCCTGGTAGGAAGGGGTGTCTTCCTCTTGGGGGAGGATCCTTGAAGTGATGGTCTGACAGGTATGAGGTCAGCAAGGTGATTGTGGTTTTGATGGTAATGGGTCCAGATTTCCAGTGAGTGTGATTTTGAGATCCAGAACTCTGGGGGGTGGTGGGTGGGGGGTGGGTCCTGTTGTCTGATAGGGCAGTGTCGAAGCTGCTGGGGTTACAGCCATCCTACTTCGGCCGGGTTGGAGCCCAGGGCAGCTCAGGTCTTATGCTTCCCCTCCGGAGCCATGGAAGACTCAAAGGTCCTAGGAATAGAAGTGGGCTGGGAGGTCTGACTCCCCCATCTACTCTGATCCTCAGAGGTTCCACCCCATGCTTGGCCCCTCAGGAGATGGAAGCAGCCCTCAGAAGCAGGTCCTTCAGGATCTGATCCGACGCTTGCAGTCCCCAGAAGCTCTGCCCTGCAGGGGCCCCAGCCAGGCTGGCTCAGAGGCCCCCTGAGAGGCCCAGTCCTTCCAGAAGTCTCGCCCACAGACCCCTAGTCCTTCCCCTATCCCTGCCCTCCAGATCCCAACCCTGCCCTCCATTCCTCCTTTCCTTTCAACATTACCAGGTCCTGGCCTTTGCTCTTCCCCTGGGAATGGAGGTAAGAAGGTGGGCATAGTTGTAGGTTGAGCCCTTTCTCCACTGCTCCACTCCTGGAAAAACTGAGGCCTGAGCAGACCTTGAGAACCTGTGCCCACTTCCTCCCGGAGGCTCTGGGGAAGCAGGCTCCCCTTCTGCTGGAGAGGCCGGCCCAGGAGGCCTCCAAGGGGCATATCTGTGTCTGAGCTCAAGCACTGGGGTCCTGCCTGAGACCTTCAGCTTCTTCTCTTGTTTTTTTCCCAGCTCTTCCTAGGAAGCCAAGCCTTTCTACCTCATCTGGACATCCCAGCCCCCAGCCCTCAGCTTAAGTGCTACCCGTCAGGCAGACGGGCTGCAGTCTCAGCTTTGCCACTCACCAGCTGAGTGGACTTGGGAGATCACTCTACCTCTCTGTGCCTCCATTTCCTCATACATAGAATGGGACTAGTGATCCCCACCTCGCAGGGTTGTTTGAGGATGCAATGATAATGCACGTAAAGGACTCAGCTTGGAGCCTGGCACATGGTCAGCACCTCAAAGGAACGGTTTTCCCTGTTCTCTGAGGGCCACTTCCTCAGACCTGCACCTGCTGTACTATTTCCCATTTTCATTTAGGAGGTGGATCAACTCAGAGAGGTGGTATGTGTGGTAGCTAAGAGTCAGATTCTGGAGCCCGTCTGCCCAGCCAGGACCCCCAGCTCTGCCACTTTACCGGCCATCCAGCCTGGGTAAGTTATTTAACCTCTGCACCTCAGTTTCCTCAGCTGCAACATAGGAATGATAATAGTGCTTAAAGCAGTGCCCAGCACCTAGTAAGCACTAGTGGTGATATAGCTAGTACTACAGAGCCAAGCCCTCCCACGTGCACAAAGCCTCAGGAGCCATCACGAAAGTTCTCTGACCAGAAAAGTGCCTGTTTCTTCTGACAGAGGGCCTCTTGGAGGAAACTCCCCACTTGGGAGTCCTGCTCCCTTGTGAAGCTCTTATTCCCAAGGTTTTCTGGCTGTTTCTGAGTTTCCCGGAGGCCGGAGAAGGGGGTATGTCGTGGAGGCTTGCCGAGAAATTGAACATGAGATGATGAAAATCTGATCAAAACCGTATGGAGCTGGCTCTGACCAAACACTTAGCCATGTAACTGAGACAGCCTCCATCCCGAGAACTGGATGTGCTCCAGGTGTGAGCGGTGGTGGGGTAATCGTGGGAAAGGGTCATGTTCAATTCCATTTTCTGTTACTCAGATGTGTACTAGGCCTTGTTCTGTGCCAGGCCCTGGGCAGAGCAATGTTGGCAGTTCCCTGGGAACTCTATCAGGGAGCCTTTTTTTTTTTTTTGGGCTGAGAGGCTTGTGTGATCTCAGTTCCCCAGCCAGGGATTGAATTGGGGTCCCGGCAGTGAAAACACCAAGTCCTAACCACTGGACCATCAGGGAATTCCCCCGTGGATAGGAAGCTTTTTGTCTGCCATAGGGGTGGACAAAAAGGCTGGAAGCTCTCTAAGTAGGGATGTCAGGTCCCTTTAGGGAGATGTTGGCTGATGGGACCACAGGACTTCAGGTAGGGAAGTGTCACTCAGCTGCCTGCCTTAGACCTGTAGCAAGTGCCGTGTGTCCGAGAGAGGAAGGTGTCTACTTAGAGGCAGGCAGCAAGGCCCCCATATCCTGGTTAGGGAGCTAGGAGTCCACCCCACCCCTCAGAGAGCGGGCAGCTTCATCATTGTCAGGTAGGCAGGCCCGTCAGAACTTGAAATAAAGACTCAACACTTGTCAGTGAATCATAGTGAAACAGGGCAGGTGTTGATTAGATGAAATCAGAGTGCTGAGAATGTTTAAGTGGATCAGGACAAGTCACAGGTTGCTGGGCTAAGCCCTCCTGTGTCTGGCAGGGAGGTAAGGGAAAAAGACCTAGTGTCCGGGAGGGTTGGTGGCTGGGGGTGGGAAAAACAAGGAAGGAGAAAGCTGGGAGGAAAGGCACTGGCTGGAGAAGAGGTGGGGAGGGCTCAGGCTTCTTCGAAATTCTTCACCCTCCAGGCCTTCAGGGTCCAGCAGGGGGCTGTTCCAGCCACTTCACCAGCACCTAGATTATTTTCTTTCTTCCTGAACCTCAGCTTCCCCTTTATTCCCAGAGGGTGGTCCCTGGGGCCCCGGGAAGTGAAGACTTTCCTTTCTTTCTATTTTTTAAATAAATTTATTTATTTATTTTTGGCTGCGTTGGGTCTTCTTTGCTGCGTGCGGGCTTTCTCTAGTTGCGGCGAGCGGGGGCTACTCTTCGTTGCGGTGCGAGGGCTTCTCATTGCGGTGGCTTTTCTTTGTTGCGGAGCAAGGGCTCTAGGTGTGCGGGCTTCAGTAGTGTGGCATGTGGACTCAGTAGTTGTGGCTCACGGGCTCTAGAGCGCAGGCTCAGTAGTTGTGGCACACAGGCTTAGTTGCTCCGCGGCATGTGGGATCTTCCCGGACCAGGGTTCAAACCCGTGTCCCCTGCATTGGCAGGCGGATTCTTAACCACTGCACCACCAGGGAAGTCCGAGTGGGGACCTTTCTGAATGTGCATGACTTTGGGGAGACTGTGTGCATGCTGGGGAGGGTTAGCCTAAGATCCAAAGATTTAAGAATTAAGTCTTTGTTTGTAGGGGCTCTTAAAAATGAAGCCCCCTATCCCCCACCTGACAGATGGGGGAAGTAAGGTCTTGGAGGGGGCAGTGAGGAAGGGACTTCCCCAGAGTTGCACAGTCAGGGGCAGAAACAGGATTGGGGGATTGGGGACCGGGCATTGAGCTCATGACCTGTTCCTGCATCCCTGCCCCCCCCCCCCACCTGTGGCAGTGTCAGGGAGGTGGTGTCCAGGTGCCTCTCTCCTGGTAGCACCTCCTCAGTGCTCCCACCCTCACCTTCTCTACTCCATCTGTGTGTTTCTGCAAGTGTCCAGAGGGTGAGTTTGTCTCTGCCTCTGTGGCAGGCTGAACTTTGCTTGGTTTCACTGGGGACCCAGAAGGATTTGAGGGGATGTACCCCCTCCTCACACCTGTGTTTGTCCTCTGCCTGCTGCGGTGCAGGGCATAGGTCCAAAGAGTGTCCACAGCTGTGACCTCTGGAACTCCATGGCTGGCTGACTTAATGGATGGATGAGTTGGTGGGGGGTGGGTGGATGGATGGGTGGAGGTCTAATGGATCAGAGACAGCTAGATGGATGGCTGCATGCATGCATGAATGGATGGGTAATTTCCCACAGGTAGCGGAGCCAAATTTCCTGGCTATACCAGTTGTTCTTGCAAACTTTCCCCATTCCACCCACTCCTGTGACTCCAAGACCTGATTTATCTGAGGTTCTGGACACCTCGTCCTAGGAGCAGAGGTGAGGAAGAAGCTGCTATGCTCTCAGCTCAGTGAGGAGGGGCTGGCACAACCCCTTACTGCTGCTTCCCTTCCAAGTTTGCCCAAGCCTGCCCAGGCCTGTTTTTGTTACCAGATAAGGTATATGGTGTAGTGGTGGCCCCTGTTCCCAGGTGAGGATGCTCAGTCTGGTGTACTAGCTGTCATCCCAACCCCAGGGGCACAGACTTGCTGCTCCCAGCTGGACAGGCCCTTAGGGGCCATAGTTGGGCAACCAGCCAGCTTTCCCAGAGGACTTCCCGGGCACGAGGAGTTCATTCCTCCCAGAGCAGTCTTGTGAGATGTTCCAAGAGTCGAGGGCTTTTGTCTCCCAGAGCTGAGACTCCTTCCCTGTGACTCCTCTGGTCTCAGTGTTGCCTTGGCCCTGGAGCCCATGTGGCTATGAGGTGGTGGGGGTCCCCCCATGCTGAATCTCCCCAGCTCTCTGGCTGTTCCTTTTTCCTTCCTCTCCCACTCTGACCTCTGGCTCCCAGGTCTGTCTGTCAGTATCCCTGAGAAGCATGGCCCCAGGATTGCCACGTGGACCCAGATGGGGCTGGACCTGGCCCAGAGTGACTGGGTGAGAGAAGAGGGCTGGACTGGAGGTCAGATTCTCTATGGACAGATGGGCCCTCACCTCTGGCTGCTGACCCTTTTCTTACATATTTATCTGCTCTCAAGACAAATATTTATTGAGTGACTACCTTGTGCCAAGCCGTGTACTTCATACCAGGGAGACAGTGGAAACCAAAATAGACAAGATCCCTGTTCAGGAAGGCTGACAAACTAACAATTATAACTCAGCATCTTGAGTGCTGCAAGAGGAGAGGAGCAGAGGGCTCTGGGAGCTTGGGAGGGAGGGAGGCTGCCTAACCCAGTGTGCAGTCAGGTAAGGCTTCCTGGAGGAGGAGTCATCCAGACCCAGATGGGAAGCCAGGCAGGCAGAAGAGAGAGAAGAGTGTTCCAGACAGAGGGAATGGCTTGGGTGGATGGGTTCTTTCTCCCCAGGCAACAGAGTTGGGCCTCCTGGCCCTCCTCCAGCCATGAGAGCTGGTTCCCAACAACTCCCTTCCCCGCCCCCAGTGACACCAGATCCCTGAGACACCTGGATGCTTGAGCACCTGTCCTGGAGGGCAAAAACTCAGAGGCCTGAGAGAGTTTGGGTCATTCAGGGGACGGGCACAGGTTTAGTGTTGCTGAGCTGTGGAGTGTGATAGGGCTGTGAGGAGACGTGAGGTGGGGCCCTGATCATGGGAGCTGATCCTGAGAACACAGCATATTAGGTGGAGGTCGATGAGGACGTTGCTTGGGCTGCAGGGTGGAAACTAACCCGGCCATCCCACCTCCCCCTTCCTATCACAGTCCTCCTGGACAGACAGCAAACAGACAGCAGACAGACGGATTCGTGGGTACCAGCTGGGCTTTATTGGAAACACTGCAGTCTGGGCATGGAGAAGTTGTGCTTCCACCACACTCATCCACACTCACACTCACACTCCTGCCCCGCCCCAGCTGGGTCAGGTCTGGGGCAGGGGAGCAGGAGGCCTGGTCCTCCCTTCTGGTCCTTGGTTCCCCAGGGCTTCAGTGATTCACATTCTTTCCCTCAGACGCAGGGCTCCCTCTGGGGCTATCATGGGCTACCTGCTGTAGCGCTTTCCCTGGGGGAGGAAGGAGAGGCAAAGTCATGGGCTGGGGTCTTGGACAGGGGCTTGCAGGGAGGAGGCAGGGCTGGGGAGGGCCAGGCTTGCCTTGGCTGAGTTCTTCTTTAGTCTCTGGATGATGCGGCCCACCCAGGGCTGGTCTGGGGGTGCACAGAGCTGGTGACCTCTCAGGGTGGTGAACCTGGAGACAGAGGTCAGAGGTCAGAGAAAATAGAGCCCTGGAACCCCAGCTTCCTGGCAGACCCTGGTGTGAGGGGCAGCGGCTGGGGACCACACCTAGGAACCTGTTTCAGGGGCTTCCTTGCAGAGGTTGGGCTTGGCAAGGAGAAGAGCGATAAGAAGGTGGGGGTGGGTTTCCCCAGGGGCTGTTGGAGGAGGTGAGGTTAGTCAGGCTTGTCCCACAACTCACACAACGGCAGACACACTGCAGCCATTGTTGATGAGCAGGTAGCGATAGGCTCGCACCAGGAATCCAGGGATGGGGCGCTTGGCCACAGACAGGCAGCAGTCTTCAGCGTCGTTGGCATCTCCCAGAGCTGGGGTAGGATTAGTGTCAGGACACAGGGACACTGAGGAATGGAGGCCACAGCCCTCACTGGCATTAAGGATGCCTGTCTGTGTGTGGCGGCAGCTAGACCTGATTGATATTTGCTAAATATATTGAAGCACTTCTAAGCAGTTCGGCAAACGACCGCTGTCCTGAGCCCCACAAATGCCCTCCTGCTGCCCTGATCACCCCAACTTCTTTCCCAAGTCCTTTCAACTTCCCCACAAATGAAGAGCTCACGCTGGTTACAGTGTCAGTTGGGGGAAGGATGTGGGGTAGGGAAGGGGGTGGGGTGGGTAACAGGAGGGTGGCATTAGCAGAACTTAGGAGTTGTTAAATTTTTTGACCACTGTTAAATTTTTTGACCCTTCTTAGACCAGTGTCTCCCATTCTCTCCACCTTAAGAAAGTATATACTGTTCTCTCCCGCCTGTGAAACTGAGGCAGCAGGAAATAGAGCCTGAAGAGAGGGGGGTAGTCATAGGCCCTGGATACACCAAGAGACAGATACACATGGGAATTCAGGGACCCAGGTACACCGCCACTCACAGGCACACACACGGGGCACAACCCAGGTTCACTGAAACATGCAATCCTAACTCACAGAGTCCCTCACGTCCAGCGTCAAGCAGTCTGAGCCCTAGACACCCCTGCTACTTGCCCCCCACCCGAAGCCTCCCCTCAGCCTTACCAGGGGAGGTCCAGAGAATCAGCAGGCTGAGGGCTAGTAGTGCAGCTGCATGGGATGCCATGGAGGATGAGCGGAGACTGACTGCCAGCAAGCTGTGAGCGTGAGTGAATCTGGGCAGAGTCTGTGTGAAGCCGAGGCCTGGCTGGGAGTGGGTGAGAGTGCCGAGAAGTGTGGTGTGTGAAGGGGTCTGGGAATGCGAGAGTGGATGAAGCTGGAGGAAGCTGTCACTTCTACCCATTTATGGCCCGGAACTTTCACTTTCTCTGCTCAGAAATTCCCCTCCAAGTCCGTTCTGTGGATTCCCCTCTGCCCCCCTCTTTCTGATGGAAACTGACCCTGCCCTCCCTCTTTTCTTCTCTTCTGCTTTCCTTGGTTTCAGCTCTAAGAACCTAAGCAGCCTGCAGTCTGGCCAAGAGAAGGGGACCTTGTGCTGTCAGCTCCAGAGAGAGAGTCTGCACTATCACCTCCCTGGTGGCATTTGTGTCATCAGCCACAGGGCTGGCCTCTAGATGATGGTTGGGATGGAGGGGCCTGAGTGAGGAGCTGCGTGCCCTTCCCTAGGTTTATCCCTTATCCTCACTCTCTTCTCTGTGGTTCTTCTCTCTGGTGCTGGTGGTGATGTAGAAGACTCCCTGGTGCCCTCAGAACAACCATGGAGCCTGGGGGTAGCCTCCCCAGGTCATTACAGTGCCTGCCCATCCATGGGCTGGGAACCAGTCTCTCCCTTGAGACAAGCAGAGTTGAGAAGGAATGTTCCTTGGAAGGAGGCCCACCACCTCTTCCCACATCTCAGACCTCTGGGATTCAACCTCCTGACTCAGCAGCACTGTCCCTTTCTTGAGTTACCATTTTCATATGCCCAACACCTGGGTCAACAGAACAGCTGGAGGGAGCCTGGCCTGGCATAACTCCCTTCATCTTTCCCTTCCTCTGGATCCTGGAAACCAAGAGGGGATTTCTAAGGAGAGGGGGCTGGCCAGCTCATATTCACACAAATCCCCAAATTCCAAGGAATAGACAGATGGGGGTGGGGACAAGTGATTTCCCATCTTTATGAGAAAAACTGGAGATAGATCAGAAGTCCTCAGAAGAGAAATTAATATGTGGGACACCCATTCACCCATCCCTACCCAAGCTCTGAACCCTCTTTTGGATGGGAGAGTGTTTCACTCATAAGTTTCTGACTTATTTTCCTTTCCATCCATTAATAATAATAGTAGTAATAGTATTTCTGATGTTTACTAGGTGCTAGACTTCATACCAAGGACTTGACCACTGTTACCTTGCTTAACTTTCCCCAAAAAACTAGGAAGTAGTTTTTTTTTTTTTTAATAGATTTATTTATTTTTGGCTGCGTTGGGTCTTTGTTGCTGCGCGCGGGCTTCTCATTATGGAGGCTTCTCTTGTTGCGGAGCATAGGTGCGCGGGCTTCCGTACTTGTGGCTTGCAGGCTCTAGAGCACAGGTTCAGTAGTCGTGGCGCATGGGCTTAGTTGCTCCGCGGCATGTGGGATCTTCCCAGTCCAGGGCTCAAACCCTTGTCCCCTGCATTGGCAGGCAGATTCCTAACCACTGCTCTACCAGGGAAGCCCTAGGAAGTAGTTTTTATTATTATCATATTATTATCTCTTTTAACACATAAGGAATGAGGCTCAGAGCACAAGGTCACAAAGGAAATAAGTGTCTTGAACTGAGGCATCTTTAAGATTTACACTCTTTCCTACCATCCCACACTGCCTGTCTGCCACTGATCACACAACAGCACAGGGGAGTGAGGCTCTACACATAGCATGCCTAGGTTGGGATTTAGATTACATTACTTGCTAGCTGTGTGACCATGTGCAAAGTATCTAGTTTCTGTGTCTTAGTGTCCTTATCTGTAAAAGAGGAATGGTAATAGCTTTTAATAGCTTCTTAGGATTAAATGAGGTAATCTGAGCAAAACCCTTAGTTTAGAGGCTGGTACACAATGAACACTCAATATTAACCATTATTATTATTCTATCCTTTTATTCAGATGTCTGTCAGTGCATCTATCTCTCCATCTTTCCATGGATCCTTGTCTTTATGGTGGTTCTGATTATTCTCTGTTGCCCCACCCCCGTCCATTCTCCACTCTTCTCTGCCCTGCTCTGTTCTCTAGAAGAGTGACCTCTACAGACAGTATTACTCAGGATCCCTTATCCTTTAGCTTCTGTTTGGGCTTGGCCATGGGAGACAGCAGCAGGATATAAGTGGTAGGAGAGAGAGGTTGGGGTATTAATTCTCCAAATCCTTCATCTTGCTATAGTTCTGACAGTGAATAATTTACTCTGTGGCAGTTGTTCTTAAAGAGTGGTCTTTGGGGGCTTCCCTGGTGGTGCAGTGGTTAAGAATCCGCCTGCCAATGCAGGGAACATGGGTTTGAGCCCTGGTCCGGCAAGATCCCACATGCTGTGGAGCAACTAAGGCCGTATGCCACAACTACTGAGCCTGTGCTCTAGAGCCCACGAGCCACAACTACTGAGCCCACATGCCACAACTACTGAAGCCCGCGCACCTAGGGCCCGTGCTCCGCAACGAGAGAAGCCACCGCAATGAGAAGCCCATGTGCTGCAACGAAGAGTAGCCCCTGCACACTGCAACTAGAGAAAAACCCACGTGCAGCAACGAAGACCGAACGCAGCCAAAAAAAAAAAAAAATTAATTAAAAAAAAAGAGTGGTCTTCGGACAGCAGCATCAGCATCACCTGGGAGCTTGTTAGAAATGTAAATTCTCAGGTCCTACTCCAGACCTACTGGAGCAATCCGTATTTAACACACCCTTGATGACTCTGATACATGCTGAAGTTTGAGAACCACTGATCTACAGTTAGCTTCTTTTGGGCTGCCTCCTCTCCGTGGGTTTATCTCTGAGGCTCCCAAAACACTGTTCCTTCCTCTGACCCCTTCAGGCCTTGGTGTGGTAATGGTTTCCCACTATTGCTGAACCCTGAGTGCCTCACTCTTCCTTGTTGGTTCCTTAATCTTGACCCCCACCTCTTAAATAGCCCCTTTATTAAAATCTTTCTGGTTAGACTTTTTTTGAGTGTGCCATCTGTTTCCTGCCAGGATCCTAACTGATACAGTAAATGGTACCAGAAGACATCCCAGGAAATAGATTTCCAAAATGGGATCCTGGGATTGTGTTGCTCATATATTTGCTGAGCGCACAAACCTCCTTGCATGGGGAAAGAGGACACGAGTAAATCCAGAACATGAAGAAGCATCACCATCACTTAAGACTATCACTAAGTGAGGTGCAGTGTGGGATGCCGATGGAGGGAAAGACATTAGGAGATAAAATGCCTCAGGTACTTAATTGCTATGGCCGCAAATGGTGATTTCAAAGGGTCTTACATATATGGTTGGGTGGGCTGCCTGTTTCTGATTGTGCTGGCACAATTACAGAAGAAAAAGAAAATTTTAAGAACATGAAATTCTATAACTGATTCACTTTGTTATAAAGCAGAAACTAACACACCATTGTAAAGCAATTATACTCCAACAAAGATGTAAAAAAAAAAAAATAAAAAAAAAACCCAGTAAAGGTTAAAAAAAAAAAAAGAACATGAAATTCTAATTCAAGTTATGGGTAGAGATTCAGACAACTTCTATGGAATTTTTTTTAATTGAAGTACAGTTGATTTACAATGTTGTGTTAGTTTCTGGTGTACGGCAAAGTGATTCAGTTACATGTATATCTATGTATCTATTCTTTTTCAGATTCTTTTCCATTATAGGTTATTACAAGGTATTGAATATAGTTCCCTGTGCTCTACAGTAGGTCCTTGTTGTTTATTCATTCTATACGTAGTAGTGTGTATCTGTTAATCCCAAGCTCCTAATTTATCCCTCTCCTCCTAATTTATCCCCCTTCACTATGGAATTCTTAAGTCATCTTTAATTTATGTGATCCATAGCCACATGGCAGATATGGCTCAAACCCCAAAACCGATTGTATGTGTGGTAGAGTTGCAACACCGGATAAATGCACAACCCCACCATATTCCTAATATTAGAATAAGCGCACTCTTGGGAAGGAGAAGGACTCTGAGACTTGGGATGGGGACATTTAGGCAGAGATGAACAAAGCTGAGAATTTTGGACCTTTTAATTCCCTTAAACCTTCCTTGCTGGCAGAAGAACACTCCTCCCCCTGCAAACCATGAATGATCCAGCCTTCCCATCCATTAAAAAATATTTTTAATAACTCCCTGGCAAAAGGCATGCAGGGGTCCTCTTCAGGATCCACCCTCACCACCCTTCATAGCCTCCAGGCCCATAGTGCGAGTTTGATTCTAACATAGCCTGGATGGGAATGTACAAGGTATGCTCCAAGAACAATAGCGTGTACACTGAAGGAGTTGCAAGAACTTGTCAACCGTATTGGGAGAATCTCGGGGACCAGTGTGGACAAATTTGTTGATATGTATGCCCTTATCCAGGATTTGGGTATTACTGTATTAGCTGAGCACCTGGGAATGGTGTTAATAATCTGTTGAGTTGGTTACTGGAAGCCTGGACTCAACAGTGGCCTATGATCAGTGAGGCTGGGGTGCTAGAACCTCACTGGCATATTGTAGAACAGTCTTCCTCAGAATTTGAGGTGCATATGATTCACTGGGAGGTCTTATTAAACTGCAGATCCTGATTAAGTAAGTCTGGGTGAAGTCCAAGATGTTGTGTTTCTAACAAAGTTGTAAGTGATGCTGATGCTGCTGGTCCTCAGAATATACCTTGAGTAGCAAAACAGAGGAAAGAATGCAAAGGTTACAGAGATGGGAATGTTGGTTGCCCCTCTTATGTGCAACCACTAACTCTGAAGGGTCCAGGAAGATAATTCCTTCTCCAAGGCCATAAGAAAAGCACTGGTGATGAGAACACTAACTATGAAAAGCACTGTAGTGGTTTCTTTTTTTTAAAAATAAATTTATTATTTTTTTAAAATTTATTTTTGACTGTGTTGGGTCTTCGTTGCTGCGTGCGGGCTTTCTCTAGTTGCGGCAAGCGGGGGCTGCTCTTCGTTGAGGTGCGGGAGCTTCTCGTTGCGGTGGCTTCTCTTGCTGTGGAGCACGAGCTCTAGGCACGTGGGCTTCAGTAGTTGTGGCTCGCGGGCTCTAGAGCACAGGCTCAGTAGTTGTGGCGCATGGACTTAGTTGCTCTGCGGCATGTGGGATCTTCCCAGACCAGGGCTCGAACCCGTGTCCCCTGCATTGGCAGGTGGATTCTTAACCACTGCATCACCAGGGAAGCCCTGTAGTGGTTTCTTTAGTAGGCAAGAGATGAGGATGGGAGATGTTCTCTTGGGACTGGGCAATCTCATTTCAAGGAGAATAATGGAATCTTTGAGTGGTAGAGTCTAGATGCTCACCTTCTGAGCAATAAGATGAATGAAATTATTAAATAAGCTGCAGGGACAAGTGGTAATCATTGTGCTTTGCCCATAAGGATCTGTGGTGGTAGCTAATTGATCATAGTTTTCCTAGGAATGAAATAGATGGACAACTTACTGACCCATATAAGTGTAAAATGTCTAGGCCTGGTAGGGAGAAACTTGATTCAAATTGTATTGGGGATTTACAGTGTTTTACCCATTTCCTTGACCTAGATCAGTTCCCCAGACCTGAAGCCCCTTGACTGGATGGTGGGGGTGGGTGGGAAGGCTTGAGTCTTTTCACAGGTGGACTCTATATATCTTTCTTCTAGTCAGTTGTCCTCAAAGTGTGGTCCCTGGACCAGCAGCATCAGCATCAGCTGAGAACTTGGCAGAAATGCAAATTCTTGGGCTCTGCCTCAACTCCATTGAATCAGAAACTCTGGGAATGGCCTAGCAATCTGTATTTTAACAAGCCTTTCTGGTGATTTTGATGTATGCTAAAATTCGAGAATCACTTCTCTAAGCCTTCCCTAGAGAGATCTGTAGCCGTTTGCCAGGGTGAATATGAATGGTGAACAGAAAATATTCAGATCTTTGGGGGATTATTAGATACTGTCTCATGTTAATACTAGTCTTGGGGACCCAAAACCCCATTGTGGTCCACTAGTCAGAGTAAGGGTTTATGGAGTTCAGGTGATAGAAGGATCTTGGTTCAGGTCCATCTCACAGTGAATCTGTAAGACCTATCCAGTGGTTATTTCTCTAGTTTCAGAATGCATAGTGGGAATAACTATACTTAGTAATTAGCAAGGTCTCCACACTGGTTCCTTGACCATGGAGTGAGGAAAATTATGGTAGGAAGGGCCAAGTGGAAGTCCTTTGAACTGTGCCTGCCCCACCATGTTCCCCCCTACAATAGTAAACTTAAAGCAATGCTTTGTTGCTAGAGGATATGCATAGAATAGAGCACCTTCAAAGACTTAAAGATGCTTCAGCCCTTGGTATAGCATATTACAGCTAATAATCTAACACGTGCCTTCTTTCTGTAGCTGTCACTTAAAGACCATTGAAATCCATTCGTTTTCTATAATGACAGAAATACACCTTCACTGTTTTACCTCAGGGATATTATCAGCTTTCCTGCTCTGATTATCATAAGATAATCTGGATATCTCACAGAATATCGAAGCAGTCCTTTAAACTGATGACATTATGTTTACTGGCGCACAAGAAATAGCAGTCGCCCTAAATGCCTCAGTAAGACCTATGTATGTCAGAGGGAGAGAAAGAAATCTTCCAAAAATTCAGGATCCTGCAACATAGGTAAAATTTCTAGGCGATTAGAGGTAGGGAGAAGCTGAAAACCAGTGATCTGGGGAATGTTGCACATTTACCGTGAAGAGGCACAATGCTTAAAGAGCTGTTTGGATTTTGGAGGCAACATACATCATAGTTAGGTGTAGTACAGCAAAATATTTATTGGATATGGCATAAAGCTGACAGTTTTTTTTTTTTTTTTTTTGCAGTACACGGGCCTCTCACTGTTGTGGCTTCTCCCGTTGCGGAGCACAGGCTCTGGATGCGCAGGCTCAGCGGCCATGGCTCGCGGGACTAGCCGCTCCGCGGCATGTGGGATCTTCCCAGACCGGGGCACGAACCCGTGTCCCCTGCATCGGCAGGCGGACTCTCAACCACTGCGCCACCAGGGAAGCCCCAAGCTGACAGTTTTGAATGAGGCCCAGAGCAAGAAAGGGGTCTGCAGCAGGTCTAGGCTCTGGGGAAAAGTTGCCTGTCTACTTGGGCCTTATGACTCACAAATCCAGGGAATTTCAGATTGTCTGTGGCAGAGAAGGGTGCGACAGGAACCCCAGAAGGAGCATTACAGGAAAGACCCTTAGGGTGTTGGAGTAAGGACATACCTCTTCTGCTAACGATTATTTACTCTTTGAAAATCAGTCCTGATTTGCCACTGGGCCCTGGTTTAAAACTCAGACTATAGATCACCCAGTGACCACACAACCTAGGGTGTTATCTATAGCAAGTCATATAGTTGGATGTGCATGGCCAGCGTTCCACTTCAAAGGAACATTGTACATTTGAGACCAGGCCTTAGAAATTTCAGAAGGCATGAGTAAAAGTGTGGGGAGGTGACTCAGATTCCTACTTTTATTGTTTTCTGCTTCTTCTTCTGATTATACTTACGCCTTCATGGAGAAGTTTTCTATAAACAGTTAACAGAGAGAGGAAGTGTATGGTCTTGATTTTCAGATGGGTCTCTAAGGTATGCTGGCATCAGTCAAAAGTAGACAGTTGCTTACATTCAGGTGTGGCCCTGAAATACAGTGGTGAAGGGAAGTCCTCTCAGTGGGCAGAATTTCAGGCAGTACATTTAATGTCCACTTTGTCAGAAGGAGAGATGGCCTGAAGTTTGGAGCTATACAAAATCATGTGCAGTGGCTTCCCACAACAACCTTGCCCTCACCTCTGTAAATTGACCCTTCACTAAATTCTTTTCTATTAAGACTTTTGGGTCATGCCATTTGTTTCCCTCCAAGGTCTTATATGATACAAGAGTATAGTGCAGAGCTGGCATAAAGGTTTCACATAAATTTCAATACTGTCTTCCTGGAATGCCTGTTGGGAAAGATTCTGAGAATCAGCAGCAAAGGGTGAAATAATGAACTAATAATAAACAAGGGATTTACACCACATTCATTCAATAAATATTTATTGAGGGCGTCCTATGTTCCAAACACTGTTCTTGGCACTGGGACACAACAACATGGGCCAGATAGTGTAGGGCTTTGTAGGCCATTGCAGAGTTTATGTTCTACTCTGAATGAGTTGGGGAACCTTTGGAGGGTTTTGAACAGTGACATGATCTGGCATGTGTTAAAGGCTCCCTGTGGCTGTCGGATGGAAGATAGACAAAAGTGGTGCAAAAATGGAAGCCTGGAGACCAGCTTGGAGGCAATTGCAATAATCCAGGGAGGACATGAGGTTGCTGAGAGTTGGTGAGAAGTGGTTAGATTCTGGAGACATTTTCAATGTAGAGCCAGTGGGCTCTGCTGAGGGGTTCAGCATAGGATATGAGAGAAAGAAGAGAAAGAGAGACAGAGAAAATACTTCAATGTTTTTGGCTTGAGCAATGTGATTGTTGGAGTTATATTTACCAAGATGTGGACGACTGTAGAGGAGTGGGTTTGTGAGAAGGTCAGGAGCCTTGTTTTTTTTTTAAATTTTTATTGAAATATAGTTGATTTAGAATGCTGTGTTAGTCTCAGGTATACAGCAAAGTGATTCAGTTGTATATATACAGGGGACTGCTGGTCCGCTGGTCTTTTTTAGATTCTGTTCCGTTACAGGTTATTACAAGATATTGAGTATTGTTCCCTGTGCTATACAGGTTCTTGTTAGTTATCTATTTTATATATAGTAGCATGTATATTTTAATCCCAAACTCATAATTTATCTCGCCCTCCAGGAGCCTTGTTTTGACTTTTTAAGATGAAGCTGCATTTTGGACATATAAGTGGAGATGTTAAGTACGTAGTTGGTAGTATGAGTCTAGAGTTCAGGGGAGAGATTCTAGCTGAAGATAAAAATTTGGGAGCATATGGATGGTATTTAAAACCATAAGACAATGAGGTCATCAAGGGAGTGAGTGTAGATAGAAGGGGTCAAGTTCCAAGGCCTGGAGCTCCCTAACACTGACAGATCAGGGAGAAGAAGAGGAATCGGGGAAGGTGACAGCTGTCAGGTGTTCTGATGGTACCTTCTATCATGGCAAAAAGGGGGAGGGCATAGGCCCTACGGGTGGAAGGTTTAAGGCACCAACTCCCCAGCCATTGGTTTAAATGATCCAGTGGTGGGGTGGTGGAGACCAGGGAGGTGGGTTTGAAACAGTTTCTGACCACACCCATAGAGCCCTCAGTGTGCTACCTGCTTTGCCTAGTTCACCCTCTTCTCAGCCACGTGGACTTCTTGGGGTTCCTGGTTCAGTGTGAGTTTTGGACAAATCTCCCAGCTCAGGGCAGTTCAGCTCATCTTGGCACCACACTCTCCCAAGGAGCCCGCTCAGCCTTCATGCTCCCTGGTCTGATCAAATCCATGCCGCAGGGGTGGGAGATCTTGGGTGGAGGGCACTTTAGCCATCGAGGCAGGTAAGGCAGCAGCGAGGCCGGGAAAGTCAACCAAGGCCATGGTAGGAGTGGGAGTACCAGGGAGTAAACGGTTGTGGAGAGCATCTCGATTAGATGCTTAATAAATGTTTGTTGAATGGATGAATGTGAGTATCAGGAGCTGTGTCCCTGGGGCTGAGCGTGACTGGTGTGCCCGTCATCCGCGTGTGTGTGTGTGTGAGAGTGAGAGAGAGCGAGAGCTGTGGCTCTGTGTCCACGTCTGTGCCTGATGTGTCTCCTCTCCCAGGCCTGCAGAGGGCGCACCAGCCTGGGAAGGGAGGCTCTGGAGTGGGCGCCGCTCTGGCTGAGGGGTGGGTGGGCGCTGGCGGGTGGGGGGTGCTCTAGCAAGGGCGGGATGCGGCCCTGACCCGGCGGGCTGCTCAGAGAGACTGAGAAGGGCGTTGGGCCCAAAGTCCGTGGGCCTGGCACGGCCTCTGGTGCTGTCCCCGCTCCAGGCCCCAGCTGGTCCCGAGGCCGAGGGTCCGGCCCCGGGTCCCAGCGCGCGGGTCCCGGCACACGGGCGGAACGTGCAGAAGGGAGACTCGGGTTGCGGGTGGGACCCGCAGCTCCAGGACCTGGGGTCGGCGTGGGCTCGGGAAGCCCCCGAGCGGCGATTACCCCGGGCCGAGCACAGCGGCTGTCCCGCCAAATCTCTGCCACTCGGGCCCCTGAATCCGCGGGTGCTCGGCTGGGCAGGCTGGGACGCATGGGCGGCCGGAGGCCGGTGTTTTTCCGTGAGTATTTGTCTTCCCCACCCCAAGTATTCCCAATTTATCCTGAGGCCAGGACGCCCAACGTGGAAGACAGGAAGCAATGTTTGTCTTAAAGGCTGAAGGAAGTTCACATTACCTCCGGGACTTCCTTCGCAACATAAATAACCCGCACCCGATTGATTCCTTAAACCACGTAATTACGGTGCCAGCTCTAAGAAAGGTTTCTTTCAACCTTTAGGTTGAAACCATAGGCTTTCAAGGTTTATTGAAAGCCTAACTGTGTGCCCGGCGCGACGCTCGCTCGGTGCCGGAGGATGAAGTGCTTTCACCTGGACAGGGACGGAAAACGAGTTTGTCCTGCTCATCAGTGGACATGGGAAAATTCTAGACCCCTGGTCTATCATGAGACACATTTGAGGACAAATAAAGGGGGAAAAAAAAATCCCAGAAAGATGAAGGAAATGAGAACAGTAGTGTTCAACCCACAAGCCTGTTTGCCTTTGGAGGACGGAGGACCGCGACGACGATGCTGCCTCCTAGTGGCGGAGTCGGGCAATGAGGCCAAGTGGAGTTTAACATCCCGTCCGCTGTGGGTATTCTGAACCGAAATTGGCGCCGGCTGCTCAGGTAATCACAGGTGGAGTTCGGTTATTCATTTAATATTAGATTGAAATTTATTATTAGCACAATCCAGGACTCTAAAACAAAAGTCTTCAAGAACATGGCATCAGAGTTTCCCTGGGGTGTTTTTGTTTGCCACCAACTGGGAAATGGATTTCTTGAAGAAAATGAAGTTTTCGGCTTCCTGACATAGCTAGCTAACACAATCTCTGTAGGGGAACTGCAGAAGAGCCACCGCTAGAAGAATACCAAATATAGGCATTAGAAAAAGGCTTGGCAATTTCAACACTCATAAAAGTCGTAATTCATTGATGGCAAAGGAAAGATACATTGATGATTTTTAACAAAATAGCATCACTTTGTCCCCAAATACAAGGATAAATAACACCTGGACATGCAAAGAAAAAGAACTTCACAAAAGAGGTCAGTTGAAGCTGAAGACATTTTCACAGGTAAATGATTAAAGCTAGGAAACAAATTAATTTTGAGCTTTCATAAATAGCAAGTATAGACCCAGTCCCCCTGACCTTCCTGTGCCATAAAGCTGGGCAGAAGATGCCAAATATGTCAGTGGTGCTGTGCTGGTAGCCCCATAGTACCCCATTTTTGAAGATGTCAAAAGAAAGATCCTGTCATTGGTGATCATGTCCCTCTAATGACTGATGAGTAAAGAATGAAATAGTGGCTAGCGAACATGTGGCCCAGGTACCATGGAGGGAGAGGAGTGTTAAGAAATCTGGTTGCTCAGTTTGGAATTAGTTTCCAGTTCATATGACTGAGGTTGTTAAGACATTTCTATTAGCTGTAATTCTGGGAGCTCTTACTAGCCCCATCCATCCTTTACATTTGTGTTAAAGAGGCCCTTAAAGGATTTACAAAGAAGGAGTGAGCCAGGGGAAGCAGAAGGCTTCAGACTTCGAGGCAACACTGACAAGAGGGAGCTGGCCCACCATTTCGTAATTGTGTGTGGGTGTGTTATCATTTCATGGAAGAGATAGTGCTGAAATCATTTGAAAACATGGTATTAGTAATTTTCTGAATGGCACTGAGGGTGACATTGTTAGAAGATAGTAATTACTGTTAAAGGAAATTCCAGGGGTTACAGTGAGTTTTCATGTTTGTTTGATGATGGTTTTGTAAATTTGGGGGATGACTGATCTTTGGAATTTTTTTCTTTTCACATTTCTAGTAAAAGCCATTAATTGTCTTTCTGTTGAACACTGGCAGACTAGTATTCAGTAAAATATTTCTTTTTACTGTATGCATGAGCATCAATTTGGAAGTCCTCCAACTTTATAATTTCATTTTATGCTTTATACTTATTTTTACTGAAATATTTACTTATCTAAACAGCAATCTTCTGGAAAGTTACTTTTATCTCCCCTCCCATTCGGGTCTTTGTGATTTGATGCCTTTACAAATGTATACACACACCAGAAACATTTACTTTATTTATTTTATTATTATTATTATTATTTTTTGGCTGCACTGGGTCTTTGTTGTGGAGCGTGGCCTCTCTAGTTGTGGAGCGCGGGCTTAGTTGCCTTGTGGCATTTGGGATCTTAGTTCCCCGATCGATCCCACGTCCCCTGCATTGGAAAGCGGATTCTTAACCACTGGACCACCAGGGAAGTCCTTAGAAACACTTACTTTAGTTTTAGTTGGGGCTCAAGAAGGAGTGAAAATAAATTCCTGTGTTTAATTTGCCATCTTTACCCTGAACTCCTACTTGTCTTTGAATTCGGTGGTGTTGATCTTTCCCCCTGTGGTTTGTGTTTTATGGTTTTATGTTTAACAAGTTCTTTTTCTACCTCAAGGTTATAACCACCCTCACCTATATTGTCTTCTATAACATATATTTTAAACATTAGGTCTTTAATCCTATGATGAAGTGTTTGAAAAATACTGAGGCTATGATAATGGGAAGGTAGAGGTATTTTAAATAAAGGAAGAACAATTTGAATCTTTATGAAAAACAAAAAGCTCAGTGACAAAAGGAAAGTAAGCACAGTACGCTACCTTGCTCTGCAGTGAACAACATTTACATGGTCATCATAATGTAAATTCTGATCATCGTCTAAATATAGTGGTATAGCTATATTTAGAGGATAGGGTGACAGGAGAAGAGGGTTCGTAAGAGAGCTAAATCTCCACTTTTTATAATAGGAAGTCAATAGGTAACTTAAAAAAAATTTTAATTATTTGGTTGCGCCGGGTCTTAGTTGCAGCAGGTAGGCTCCTTAGTTGTGGCTCACCAGCTCCTTAGTTGTGGCATATGAACTCTTAATTGCGGCATGCATGTGGGATCTAGTTCCCTAACCAGGGATCGAACCTGGGCCCTCTGCATTGGGAGCGTGGAGTCTTAACCATTGTACCACCAGGGAAGTCCCTCAATTGATAACTTTCAAAATAGGTAAATGAAGAAACAGAGGTATGAACAAAGTATTTAGACATATGGCACTAAGTCCTAGAGGAAGTAGCTTAAAAGTTGCAGGAAATGGTTGTTCAGAATAAGCCTTTTGTTACTTTCTGATTTTTTTAAACCATGAGTATGTATTATTTGATTTTTTTGAATTATGGATCTTACAGAAAGAAGAAAGAACAGGACAGTATTGTCAAAGATGAAGGCAGAAAAGGAGAGTAGGGACTCATTCTCTGATAAGATAGATATTATATTGCATGCTAATCAGGGCAGGGCTTGAGGCAAATACCAGCTATGCAGTGTGGCAGGATAATTTAGTGAAATATGAAGTTTTGTTTTGTTTTGCCTATGTTTTCCTTTTTTTCTCTTTTTGCTGATGATTTTCTTTTCTCTTTAGAGCAAGCGAGGGTTTTGGTAGGGCTGAGAGTAGTAGCACCCTGATATTAGAGTCCCTTCTGCCTTTGTAAAAGTCTAAAGCAAACCTGGGAAGAGGTTATACCTTGGAGGGACTGGGAAGAGGGAGGGTTTTGGAGAGAGTTCTTGAAGACTGTGGAGGGGATTGGTGTGTATGTCCAGCCAGTATAGGCAGTGGGCTTTAATCCTTGACTGGGATGAAGCAAGCAAGCCACCTGAGTAGATGGCTCTGGGGAGATGTCTGGGGAAGCTAGGTCCAAGCCTGGAGGCTCTCATAGCTGAGCTCCCATGGCTCAAATGTGGCACAGAGCTAAGAGTTTGAGAGTCCAGGACCTGGGGAGTCATACCTGCTGGGAACACAGGGGCCAAAGCATTCACTGGTGAGACTGATGTCCAATGATGGGATGATGTAGAGGGCATGTAGGAAGCCTCTCCTGTGCCTTGCTGTTTCTTTGACCTTTGCACAGCCCTTGGCAGATGGGACCCCAAGAATGCCAGCGCTCCGGTGCAGGGGCTTGGAGTAGGTTCATTGAAAGAACATTTTATTTTATTTTTTGGCCATGCCATGCGGCTTGCAGGATTTTAGTTCCCTGACCAGGGATTGAACCCCAGCCCTGGCAGTGGAAGTGCCGAGTCTTAACCCCTGGACTGCCAGGGAACTCCTGAAAGAACATTTTAAAGTACAGTAAATCTTGAACATCTGAGTTTGTAGACTAAGATCACACCTGCCGCATGATGATAGGTAGGGAGCATCCCGTGTCTTCACTGTACTCAGAAGGAGCAGAGAGCAAATATTTTAATGACTATAATAAGCGGTAAGTGCTGTGGCATGCTCAGGCCCCGGTAGAAGGAGAAGGTGGTGGCAACCACCTCTAGTTCCTTGCCCCTCTCCCAGGATCTGTTCCCTTCTTTCCCACGTGGCCTGGCCCCATCTAATGGTCCTCTCTCTCCTAGCCTAAGGGCGAAGCGGGGAATTGGAGGATCTCTGCTCTGGGGAGGGAGAGGTAGAGGAGAGTTAGACTGGAGCCTTCTTGGAGAGGAGACTAATTTACATCTGAGTTCTGGGGTTCCAAATTCCTGCCATTGGAGACTTATTCCTTGGCCTCAAGAGGTTAAAGGGGCTAAAGTGCCCCAGGCCCCACCTAGGGGAGAAAGGAGAAAAGGGAAGGGGAGGATGGATGCTTTCCCAACTGGAAGGAAGCTGAGGGAGGAATAGAGAACTCAGGAATAAAGAGCACATAGCCCCATCAAACAATAAGGAGAGGCCATAGACCCTGCTTCACTGGTCAGGGCGGAAGGGAGTCCTCTGGGGTCTTTGGGAGGAGATAGGGGCTCTCGAGGGCTCCCAGGGCTGGAACTCTGCATAGGGCAGGTTTCAGTAGAACTTGTGTTCACCTGTGTTACAGGCAGGCCCAGGCTCCCGCCTCCCTCCAGTAGACCCCAAGGAAAGGGGAGGCAGTCCCCGGTGAAGCTGGGAGTGAAAGAATGCTGGGCGGAATCAGGGAAGGGATCTCTTCAGGGTCTCAGAGGCCTATGGAGCTGTTGGGGACATGTGCCTGGGATCCACTGTCTCTTCATTGGCAGGGATTTCTCAGAGACCAGGGGCAGCCCAGGTCCCACCCTGCCTGTCAGCCTCCCTTTTATTGCCCACAGGTCTGGGCACCTGGGAAGCAAGGAAACTCTTGGGGTGGGTGAGGATATAGAATTTGCCAGCCTGAGCTCTTGGCCAGGACCCCAGAGTGTGTGACTCCACCCTGTGGTGACAGTGGCTTCTCTGTGGACACAAACACACAGGAACAGATACTTGGGAGGAAGGCCAGAATGGCTGTTTATTCAGTTAGGTATAAATCATATTTACAAAGACGAGGTGGGTGCAGTGTGGAGCACGGTCAGGTCCAGGGCCCTGGGTGACCTTTCCTCAGAGGGGACAGTCCTGCTGCCACCTCTCACATTTCCTATGGGACTTTCCCTTCTCTGCCTCTCTAGGCCTGGCCTGATGTGGGCAGCTCAGCCGTGCAGGGTAGGGTGGGTATACAGAAGGGGTGGTTGAAGCTGGAGAAGGGGTGAGGGGAGGCCAGCATGGGGTGGCTGCTCTGGGCCCCCTGAGTCCTCCTTCTCTCCTAGCCCACCTCTTGTCCCTTGGGCTGGGGCTCCAAGCCCTGATGAGACTGGTGGGGACCTCCTGGGCTCCGGGCTCGTCACTGGGCTATGGCCCTCTTGGGGTCTCAGTCCTGGGAGGGCAGAAGAGGGCTTTGAGGGGATGATCAAGGCTCCCCTTCACTTCCCACCCCCCGTCCCTTTAGCTTCCTTACCTCTTACAGCCTTTGGAGCTCTTTCCCTTCTTGCCAGACTTGGTGGCCCTCTTGTCCTTCTTACAGTCCTGGGCTGGTTTCCATGGGGCTGCTGGCTTGTCCAGACGCTGCATCAGCTGCTGCACCCAGGCCTTTTTAGGGTCTGCACATAGCTCTGGCTGAGAGCGTTTCCGAGGTGAGAACCTAGGGTTTAGGGGTTAGCAAGCCTGTCTTAGTCTTGCCCATCATGCCTTCCCACTCAGCTGCCAGCCTGCACCCACCCCCTTGTACCCACTTACAGGATAGCTGGGAAGGGGCAACCCAGGCTTGGTTCCTGCTTCCGGTAGCTGCGGACAACGTGGGTGGGAATCTTCCTTAGGCTGTACTTGAGGCAACAGTCCTGTGCTCCTCCATCACTGCCTGCAGGTGGGGTTCACAGGGAGTGAGGGGCTGCTTGGAGGCTCCTACCCCGGCCTCTCCACCCCCTTGCCCCCATCCTAGGCAACTCCCTCCTTGATACCTTGGGTCTGGGGGATGCAGAAGGCCAGAACTAGGACAAGGATGCTCAGAATCAGCGACTGACCCATGGCCACGGTAGAGCTCGGGCGAGGTGGAGAGCTCCAAACTGGGGGTCTGTGTGTGGGCTGGGACTGGTGTGCCGCCTATTTATGCAGGCAGACACTTTCACTTCCCCCATCCCCAGCTACTCTGTCCAGGCAAGTATAGGGATCTCCCTCCTTTTCCTTCCTGAAAGACAGATCCTGTCCTGGCAACCAGCCTCACTAGTATGCGGAAATGAAAACTTCACACAGACATTCAGTCCCCCAAGCTGCCTGAGTCTACCTCCTCAATATTAGTTGAATCTGAGAGGCTCTCCTTTTTTTTAAAAATTAAAATTTTTTTTAAATTTTAATTTTTTTGGGCTGTGCCAGGTGGCATGCGGGAATCTTAGTTTCCTGACCAGCGATCGAACCTGCGCCCCCTGCAGTGGAAGCGTGGATTCTTATTAAACCACTGGACCACCAGGGAAGTCCCTGAAAGGCCCTCCTTCTATCCCCAGCCACTGTCTTGGTGCAGGCCTTACCGCCTCTCCTCTGGAACACTTGTTTCACTCCAGGCTCCACACTCTCCTGTTCCTTCAAGCAGGCTGAGGACTGTTCCTAAAATACAAATCTGACTAATGAATTGTAAGAGTTCTTTGTACATTCTGGATAATAGACCCTTATCAAATATATGATTTGCAAATATTTCCTCCCATTCTGTGGGTTGTCTTTTCACTCTCTTTTAAAATTTTCATTGGAG